TTTGGGATTTAAATATATCGCACCATTAATTTAAAGCGTTTCCCGTATTATACCGTTTTTACCTAACTTTTTATTTATAAAGTACGATATTTTACGGCTATTACAAACCGTTTATAGATTTTTTTACGTTTTTTTCCGGTAGCCAACCGGTTTAGCACGTTAAAACATTTTTTTAAACCATTTTTTTTAGCTTTTATTATTCCTTTTTTGTAATACCCCCGTTTTTTCCGGGTATTTACCCGTTAAAGTCCGGTATTTTCCTTATCCTATAAGCTTGTTTCCAATAAACTTGCTTTATACGTTTAAACAATTTTTTTCGTAATATCCCTTTTTAAAATTTACATATTTTTTAATTCGTCGTAATTTATTTATTTAATTAGGTATTTTCGTTTTTGCAAAAGCTTTTTGTATTTTAGCAAAGCTTTTATTTCGAAACGATCCTTTTTTTTTTTCGATTTTTGGTTTTTTATTTTTTGGTTTTTTGCCGGGCTTTTTTTTAAACGCCCGCAATAAATTTGCTGGAAATACGTCGTATATCCGGTAATTTACCAAAAGCTTTAACCGGAACGCCAAACCGGCTAACCCAACCATTTTTAGGATTTAAAAAGGTCCTAACCATTTATTCGATAGCTTTTTCAACGGCTTTTTTATTTTAATATTTGCCGTATTTAATAGCACCCAATTGCTTACCCCGAAAGGCACCGGGGTTTTGCTTTTGTTATAATACTTTTTATATATATTATTCGCTTTTTTTAGCAATTTTTTAGCTTGCTTTTTAATTGTTTCCAAAGCCCCCGCTTTAATTTTAGCCATTGCCAAAAGTTTCCTTTTAACCACCCGAAAATTATAAAGCTTTCGTAAGTAAAACTTTATTAACAAAAACGCCGGGGTTTTTTGCAACCCTAAATGTACGTTCGTATTATGCACTTACGCTATTAAATGCAATAGCGACGCTTAATCGTTTTGCTTTTTGCAGCAAAAGTACCGGAAATAATGCTTTATTGCTTGGTTCGTTCGTTCCGTTTGCCCGTTAATTTAAAAGTAATATGCTATTAATAGCTTTTTTGCAATTTTTAAATATCCGGCGAAAATTATTTAAAACCCGTTTGTAAATAGCTTGTTCCGGTTCGATACAATCTTTTCGAGCGTTTTTAACAACCTTTAAACGTATGCAAATAAAAAGCTTCCCAATCCTTTATTGGTTAATTTTGTAAACGTTAGGATAAAAAAGCTATATTTAGTAAACCGGTCGACCATTACCAATATTGCGTTGCGCTTTTTGCCGGTTCCATTTACCGATATTAAAAGCTTTCCAATAAAATTTATCGATAGCTTTTATTCCGGGCGGTTTGGCACGGGCAAAAATGCTAGCAGCCCGTAAAGTATTTGTATTTTCGGCTTTATTTATTGGTATATTTAATACGTCCGTACGTATTTGCGTACGTTTTTAGCTATACCCGGCTATTTAAATTACCGTTTAAACTTTTTTAAAATTTTGGCTATGCTTTTGTAACCCCCCGTTGGGTTATTATGTTATTTTTAAAATATTGTTCGTTTAAACGGTGCTAAATTCGAAATTTAAATTTTTTTTTTATATTTAAACAAACCGTTGTTAATTTTCCAAACGTTAGGCTTGTTTTTCCAAATACCGCTTTAAACGAAATCGTTTTTTGCTTGTACTTCGAAAATGCGCTTTAATATCGTTTTAATATTCCTTTTAATGGTAATCGTCCTTACGTAAGCTGCTTTTTGGAATTTGGCCAATAAATCGTTTCGGAATTTTTTTTTTGCTATATCGGCTTCCCCGTCCATTAATATATTTTGGGAACGTTTTAATAAGCCATTCGCGGGGTTCCGGTATTTTGGCTTTTATTTAATCGTAAAATTGTACTTTGCTAAATTTTCGAATTACTTTATTTAGCGCTTTATTACCTTTTTTTTTATTAAAATATGGGTATAATTTAAATGGTCGGTAATTATTTTAATAATTTTTTGTAAATAAGCCAAATAATGCCGTTACTTTTTAAAAGCTTTTACGATTGCTAACAATTTTAAATTAAAAATTGCATAACGCAGCTTTTTTTATTGCAATTTTTTTAATATGTAAGCTACCGGGTGCTACCGGCCGTTTTATAGCTGCAATAGCACCGCTTTTATTGCAAAAGCCAAAGCGTTAGTTCGTACGCATAACGGTTTCGAAAGGTTAAAATGCACCAATACCAAAGCTTTCGTAAATAATAGCTTTAATTTGCAAAAAGCCTTTTTCGCAATACTTTTTAAGTAAAACACGGTATTTTTGCTAAAAAGGTTTGTTAAAAGCATAGTAATTTTCGCATAACCCTTTACGAATTTCCGATAATACCCCGTAAAGCCCAAAAATACTTAAATATTTTTAACGCTTTCCGGTATCCTTTATTTTAAAATTGCAATAACTTTATCCGGCAAAATTTTAACCCCGAATTTGGTTATTTTAAACCCCAAAAAATTAATACTATCCGTTTCGAATTTGCATTTGGCCGGGTTAACGTAAAGCTTAAACCGTTCGAATCGTTTTAACACCGTTTTTATTGCCTCGCGGTACTTTTTTTATATTTTTAAAAAAATAAAAATATTGTTTAAATATATAATGCAATTATTATTAATTAATTCCCCAAACGCTATATTAATAAAGCTTTAAAACGTTATTAAAGCGTTGGCCAAACCGAAAAGCATTATTAAGTATTTGTAATGTCCATATTTGCAACGGAAAGCAATTTTTTATTCGTTTTTTTATTGGATTCGTATTTTGTAATAAGCGTTTTTTAAATCCAATTTGGTAAAATACTAACTTTTAAATACCCGGTTAAATATTTTGTAAATTAACGAAAATGCTAGCCGGTTTTTTTTGGTAACTTTATTAAAACCCCGATAATTAATACAAAAGCAAAACTTTCCGTCCTTTTTTAAAACGAACAAAATTCCGGCGCCGGCGGGGCTAGTTAAATGTTAAATCCAACCCTTTGCTATGGCTTTATCGAAGTACCCCCGGAAAATTTTTAATTCCTTTTCGGATAAAGGATAAATGCTTTCGTAAAGCGGTATCGTTTTTTTTCCAATTTAATCGCGTAGTTTTAGCCTATATGTTTTAGCAAAAGGTTCGATTTATAAAGCTGCGCATATTTTGTAATTATTTTTTTAACCCATTCCGGAAAAGCTTTTAGCCTTTCCCCGGGGTTTTTTGGGGTTTCCGAACGTGCAACCGTTAATACGGCTATCGCTTGTCCCGATTGGATTAGCTTTTTAGCTATTTCCAACAAAATTATTTTAACCTTTTTAATAATTACCGAAAACCTTTATTTTATATTCCCAAACCGGATTTTAATGTTTTTTTGCTAAAATTAAAATATGCTTAACGTAATGTCGTACCCGGCCCGGGGCATTACCACGTAAAACATTATTAATTTTCGGGTTATTTTTTAGTTATCCGTTACCCAAATTTTGTATTCCTTTACCCTTAGCGTAAGCATGCGTTTTTTGGTATCGAGCTACGCTAAGTAATTCCCGTTTGGTACCGGTATCTTTTTTGCTTTTACCAAAAAACGGTTATGCAATAAATTAACGTTGCTTTTATTGTTAATTAACGCTTTTAATTTTACCCGGCAACCGTTAATCCGTAAACATATTTCGGTTTTTTAGCGCGTTTTAACCGTTAAAGCGCACTTTTAGGCCCCGGTGCTTAAACGGCCAAATAGCGGTATTAAGTTGGGTAGCAATATTTTGCTTTTTTTAAAGCACGCCGGCCGGATATAGCCCAGTTTTTTATACCCGTAATACCGTACTTTAGGCTTTTTCCTTTTCGCTTTTTGTATAATTGCTAAAGCCAACGGGGTTTCCGGGTTGTTCGTCCGTATTTTGCATGCTATAACGATATGGCCTAACTGCCCGTACTTAAAGCAAATAACCGGCTTTTTAAAAGTTAAAACATTTGTATTTTTCGGGGTTCCTTTGTGCGGTCCCGATATTATTTTTGTTTTAAAAGCTTTAGCTTGCAATTTTTCCATAATGTAAGGAAAGCTTTTAAATATTACCCGTTTTTGGATTTTGGGGCGAAACCGGTTAAAAAGCAATATTATTTTTATCCATTTGGGTGCTAATTCGAAAAAGTTATTTTTTACCAAATCCTAACGAATTCGGAACGTTTTAAACGATTCGTAATTTTTTTGCTTAATAGCGGTATTTCCCGCAAACTTTTTAATCGCTAGCCATATCCGCAAATCGAAATCCTTTGATTTTGTTTAAAGCCACCGCAAAAAATCGGTTTAAATAAATAATACCCCGGTATTTAAATAATGCATTTGCTTGTATTTTGTTTATTGTACCCGTTAATAATAATCGAAAGTGCTAAAAATTATTTAAACTTTTATATGGTTTTTACCGTAACGTTCCTTTTTATTTTTAAAAATAAATTTATAATTGTTAATGTAATGGGCGATATTTTGCCAAATTGCCGATTTTTTAAGCATAAAAGGTTTAAAAGTAACTTTGCTTTACGTAAAACTTTCCCGTTATTTAAAAATATTTTTTTTATTTTCGTTTAAGCCCTTATGCGCATGCTTTAACCCTTTGTTTTAAATTTTTTAAATTAAACGGGCGCGCTTATTTTGGGCCTTTAACGCGTCGTTTATTTTTTGCAATTTTTCCACGAAAAGGTTTTCGAAATTATTGGAAATTTGCGGGGCTTTTTTGGTATTTTGTTCCGGTGGTTTAGCGGCCCTTTTTAACGTGCTCGACGTAGCGTCGGGCGTTATTATAAGCGGTGCAAAATCGCAAATGCCCTTTTTAAATTTGCTCGATCTTTTCCGGTAATTACCCAAATTTGCTCCCTAAATAAAAAAGGTGTAAAAAAAAAATAATATATTAAGGGTTAATCGGTGTAAAAGCGGGTGGTTACCGGGTTACGGGCCGGATACGGTATTTTTTTTGTTAAGCTTCCGTAAATTTTTTACTAAAGGTATTATTGCCAACAAAAATTATTTTTTTTTAACCTTTTTTTTTTTATGCCCTTTCGAGCACCCGGGGTCGGTTTTTTAAATCCTTTGCGCTTTAAGCGCTTTCGTGCAATTTAAGCTTTACTTTATTTTTTAACTTCGCCATTATGCTTTGGCCGCGATACCGGTAATTCGCCGGCATGTTCCCGGAAAGTTCGTGCCCGGCTGGCTGCTAGCGCCCCTTTTTTCCTTTTTTGCCGGGCGGTTTTGCCCGTGCATTTAACGCTCCCCGCTTTTTGCCGGGCGGTTTCGCCCGTGCTTTTAACATTCCCGTAGCTTTTTGTACAAGCTTGCCGTGTAAATAATAAAAAGGATAGGTAATATTGGGGACCTTTGCGGGATTCCGTATAAAACTTTATTTTTTGCCGTATTTTTACCGTCGAAAAAAAATATTATTTTCCGATCGTTTAAAAAGCTTTTAAAAAAATTCAAAATTTATTGTAAAAATTGGTATTTTTTTATTTTATTAAAAAGGCGTATATGCAATACGGTATTAAAAGCGCCGTTTATATCGAGTAATAGGAAATTAACCATCGCTTTTGCGTTTTAAACCGTATTTATCACTTTTGTAAGTAAGCGCATGGCCGTTTTCGTAAATTTGCATTATCGGTTGCCCATTTATTTATTAAAAAATAATTAATAGCTTTTTGCAGCGTTTTTAATGCAAAACGCTAAAATCTTTTTTAACGCTTTCCTTATCGTTTTTAAAAAGGCAATTAGCTTTTACGCGTTTAAAGTATTTGGATTTTTATTAAATTTTTAAAGGATAATGGTGCGGAATTTCCGGAATTTTTCCGGAAAATAACCGCGGTTTACGCATACCGTAAACATTTTCGCCAATGCTTTAAAAAGTGCCGGTTCCATTGCTAGCAATTTCCCAATAGGAATTTCCGTTAAGCTTGGGGCTTTCCAATGTTTTATGCTTCGAAAGGTTTTTTTTACGTCCTTTACGGTAATTTTTTTGCGGACGAGCAAAGGTTGGGAAGGTGGTTTGGGGTATTTGGGGATATCGGTGGTATTTGCCGTTAATATAAGGAAAAACTTCTTTTTTAAAATTGCTTTTTTCGCTTTTTTTGTTGCCGTTACCTTTTTGCTTAATAATTTTAACAACGGGAATAACGGGGGGGAAAAAAGTTAGTAGCTTTTATATTTTGCCCATTTAGTAATGGTTTATATGTTTTTAGCGTTTTGTATAATATTTATTTCGTGCATTGCGGTACGTTACGTATACTTTTTCGCTATTTTAATAGCGCTTTTTTTTTTTGGTAGCTTTTTTTATTATTGCGTAATTGGTTTCCGAACGGTTTGCTTTTTACGTTAATTCGGCCCGGTATTTATTGCGAAATAGTTAAAAGATTTTTTTCGTTTACCAGTTACAGCTTCCGGCCTTTCCTTTTAGCTTTGGTACGGTTAGGTTGCGGATTTCCAATATTGCTTTTGTAATGTTATTTATTTTTTCGTTAATTATTTGGGGGTTAATAAATGGTTATAACAAAAAAGGGATTTTGTTATCCGTTAAGGATTTAACGAATTTTTTATCGATTTTTTTCCAATTTTAGCTTTTTAAAGCTAGTACGTAAAGGTTTGGAATGGTTTTTAAAATTGTGGTTACCATTTCCGTATGGTTATTGCTATTTTAACGCCATTTTAACGGTTATTAAATTTTTAACTTTCCGGTAGCCCAAATTAAATTAATGGTGGTATTTTTACAATAGGGGGCGGATTTTATTGCTGCGTTTTGGCGAATTATTAATTGCATGCTTTATAATTTCGCTAAGCTAACCAATTTAAAAGCCCCCGCATGCATTAATGCGTTTTTTAAGCGTTTTAACATTTATACTTTATAATAAAAATTAAAATTCCTTACCATTAAGCTATTGCTTTTCGGTTCCTTTCCGGCAAATTCGTTAATAAGTATTATTTAGTTTGTAATGGTTATGCTTTCCGAAAACGGGGAATAAACCGATTAAATCGTTATATTTTCGTTTTGGGTGCCGATCGTAACTTTGCATTAATCCGGTTTTGCTTCGTAATCCAAAATACGTAGCGTTAATTTAACATAAATAATTGCTTTGGTAATGGGGGGAAAGGGGGAGCAAGTTATAGTAATGGGGAAAGGGAAAGCGCGTTGCCTTTTTTTTAGCGGTTTTAAAAGGATTCCGGTAAGTTGCCGTATGGTTATTACGGGGTAAGGTTGTATATATATTGGATTAGCTTTTTTCCGGCTTATAACGGGAATTTAGCGTTCCTTTTTAAATTTTTTGGTAGCTTTTGTATCGCTAATACGTTAAAACTGTTTTTTTTTGCCAATAATGCGTTAAATACTTCCGGTTTTTTCGTTACGTTTTATTAAAAAACTTTAAGCATTGGTTTTTTCGTTAAAAAGGTCCTTTTTTGCTTTTGGGGGGGGCGGTAACGTTAACGTTTCCTTTTTATATAGCTAAATGCTAAAGGATTGTATGTTATTGGATAATTGGAAAGGGGTAAAGCTTTTTTGGCTAGCTTTTTTTGTTATTTCCCGTAACGGTAAAGGGGACGCGGGTATTGCCGGGGAAATGGGTTTTGTTAAAGGGTTTGCGGGGGGGTGCGGGGGGGAAAAAGCTTTGGGATGCGTAAGCCTTGGTTTTTTACAAATAGCGTAATAATTGCATTTTTTCGTTTTGTTATGTGGAATTTCCTAAGCCTTTTTATAAATTGTTCGGCCGATTTTAAAAAGTTCCTTTTTCGTTTTATAAGTAAGGTTGGTTAAAAAAAGGGTAATTTTAATTTTGCGTCGATTTCGTTGCGTATAAGGGTTTTTTTAGTCGGCGGGGTTGTATTTCGAATTGTTATTGGTATTTAAAAAAAAGTTATTGCAAAAGGGTTATTGCTTTTTTTTGCTTAATTGGTTCTTTTTTGCTCCCGTATAGGGGCTGCTTTTTCCCGGGGTAAAAAAGGGGATTTTGCCCGCCCCGCTTCCGGCGGCGATCCGGTTTGCAACGATTTCGAAATGGAAATTATCGGGATTTCGTAATAAATAAGCTTTGTAAGCCAGGCTTTTTTTTTGCGTTATTGGGTTTGTTTTCGCACCGGGCAATATAAAAAATAAAATAAATGTTTAATTTTGTTGTACAAAATACAAAATGCCCCGAACATATTTTTCGGCGATTTTTTTGCTGTTTCCTTTTTTTTTTTACACCGTTTATTGTTATATTTTTTTAATTTATACCACGCATACGCCGTAATTTATTTGCATTGCATGTTTTTGTATTTTTAATTTAAATAGCGGTAATATTGCGCCGTAATTAATTCGGGGTTAAAAGGTTGGCATTGGTATGCCAATTTATTTTATCGAAAGTAATCCTTTTGTAAATTTATTGCGCTTTTTAAGCTTGCAATTTAAAGCAACGCCGTTACTTTTTTTTATTACCTTTTTTTTTATAACAAAATGGTAACCCGTTCGATATTTTTATGCGGGTTTTCGGCGTTAAATGCCTTTATTAATTTTAACCAATATTTCGCTTTGTTTTTATCGTTAAAAAAAGGTTAAAATTTGTTAGCTGGTAAACCCGTTATTATTAAAGCTATCGTTAGTTTAGTAACTTTTAGGCCGTTCGTTTATCCGGTTGTATTTTAAGCCGTAAAAGGCGCGTACTACGTCCGTAGCCGGTTTGTTGCGGCGGGGTTGCCGTAGCTATCCGCAATCCTTTCCATGCCTTTATTTATATCGTTCGTTCCCGGCCCGGGCCGGCATTTTTTTTCCGCTTATTAACGGGTGCTGGCATTTTGGAAATGCAAGCGAACGTTTTTTAACGGGTATTGGTAAACCGTTTTAACCCAGCCTTTACTTAGCTTTTTATTGCAAATCCGTTTAATTTTTTCGGGTTTCATTTTTTTAATTTTTTTACTTTCGGTAACAGTAAAAATTTTATTGTTAATTATAAGTATTATCGCTTTTTTGGCTTTTATTGCTTAAAGTGCTTTGGAAGCGGTTTGCGCTTTTGCGGTTATTTAAATTTAAATTTATTTTTTACCTTTTCCGTTTGCGGCCGCAATTTGTTGCGTTTGGTCCTTTTTTTTTAATATGGTTTTAATTCGTTTAAAAAATTGGAAAATCGTTTGGGTTGCGTTAAGGTTAATTGCTGGGGTTATTAAAATTGCGGTTGTTTTGTTGGTTATTTTAACGTATTAAACGAATTTTGCGATAATTTCGGCGGCCGTAATTTTTTTTTTTTTTATTAAGCGATTAAAAATATTTTTTTGCGAATTGCATTGTTGCAATAATTAATTGGGTTTTTTTCGGGTTCGCGGTTGGTTTTTGTCGTGGTTGTTGCTAATTCGGGTAATTCCCGTTGCGTATTGCGTGCTTCGATTGATTAAAGCCAATGGCCTTTTCCATCGACGCCGCGATAGCGCTTCGGGGTATTATCGAGCTTGTTTAGCCTTTAGGCAAATTGGCGTTTCCGGTTCTCGTAATGGCTTTAGTTTTTTTGTATGTCGTTGTCGTCGTTGCGCGCAAGCAGAAAACGTCTTTTTAGCCTTTTTAATAATTTATTAATTTCCCTAAAAGCAAATTGTTGTTAAAAGTTAATCGGTGCAAAGGCGGTGCAGCGCATAATACGAAGGTTTAACAAGCACGCAATAATTAATTCCCTACCTTATTTAAAGCAGCCTTTTAAGCCATTAGCATTAGATAAATAATTTTTAGCTGTTATAATTAAAAAAAACCCCCCGTTATTAAATATAACGCTTTATTTTCCAAAAGCCTGGTACGCGTTAGCAAGCTTATATTTTGCGCAGTTTTGCTTAATAAATACTAGTGCAAATAGCGCAAAGTTAAACGCATTTTTGTTGGTAGGAGTCTGGTACTCCTGTTGAACGGCTCGGAAATCTCCAAAGGTGATGAACAAAGATCTCTGTGATTTGGGGAAAGGTCCTATATTGTGCATAAGGAGGAAGGAATCTATCTGCCAGAAGAAGGGCACAGGACTGCCCGTTATATGCGCAGGGACAATCACCCAAAGGGTGGTTCCCTGCTCTGCCTGAGGCAGATAGTGTTGGCCCGTGCGGGATCCAGAGGATCCCGGAGCCCTCTGTAACAACCTTCCTTTTCCGGATCGCACGCGCACAGAAATACTGTTCCAACAACCTTATTTTTAAACGCAATAAGTATTTAATAAAAAGCTATATACAAGCATTTAAAAAAATTAAGTTTAAAAAAAACCTTAACCAGCATCCCAACCGTTTTTTCCAGCAAAACAACGCTAAAATATATATATTAAAAACGGTTATAACTTGGTTTAAAAGCTAAAAAATCCAGCCGATTTTGTAGCTTACCCACAGCCTAGATATAAACCTTATTAAGCACGTTTGGAAAAAGATAAAGGAAATCCTGCGGAGAAACGCTTTTAATTTACACGAATTGGGTGGTAGCATGGCAGATTAAGCCAGATTTAAAGCCGCCCTAAAAAGTGCGTGGGATGCAGTGCCACAGGCATTTATCGACGGCTCAATCGATTTTGTGCCCTGGAGGGTGGCCGCATTAAGGGCTGCAGGGGGTTGGTATACCAAATATTAAAGCCTAATTGCCGGGCATTGTAATGCATATTTTACTTTTTTTATTTAACTACGAATTGGGTGCGTTGTGCTTATTTGAAGTAGTTTGGTTGGAATCGGGGTTGTGGCGGGTTGTGTTTTTTTATCCAGACTACTTTTGTGAGACTGTATCTATTCCCTGGACGACCGTCCTAATTGCTCGCCCTGCTGGGCGTCTGCGGTGCTGGGCCATCTTCCGGGACTTTCGTTTGTCCCCCAGTGCCCTCGCTCTGCGTGACCGTATCCCAAACTACCGAGCCACGGGCATCTCTCATCAAATCTGGATGGCGCCAGATACATCCGCGGTCGCACTGGAGCGGGGGAAGGAAGAGAGGTGAAGATAGATGGCGAGATCGACGCGGCAAAGGCGGCCTGCCCGTGCGGACATGGCTTTTGAGGGCCGACGCTGACCCGCGGCGCCTTCTCGGCAGCAGGCCTTTGTCCCCCCGCCGAGCCATCCTGGCCCTGCTTCGTCATCTCCGCCAATGCTGTGTTGGTCCGACATCTCGATCCTGCCTACGAACTTGCTTGTTTGTCAGCCGCGCTCCTGCGTCATGTTGCAGGGCGTCGCCGGCCGTGATTCCAGGTTCTACTCCGACGGCTCACCCTCCCTTGGCAGGGGCCCTGCTCTCTGCCTGCTGATCACATGTTCATTCCGCGCTCACTCTAATCCGATGTGTTCGGCAAAGTCCGTCGCATCTTTTTCACCTGTGTCGCTCTCAGCCGCCAGCAGTAGCTGCCGCACGAAGAGGGTAGCGACATAACGGCTTGCTTATCTTCCGGTCGATCGGCGGGCTGTTGTAAAGCCTCGAGCTCGGAGCCTTGCTAGCCTCCCCGAGCAGAACCGGCGAGCCGGTGTGTGAGCCAGTGGGTGGATATTGCCTTGGTATCAAAATGGCGAGATCTCGGTCGTCCTCATCTGGCGGGCAATGATCCCCAAGGCTCAAGGCCCACTTCTCCATCATTCCAACACCAACGCTACCCTCATCTTTGCCCAGGACGACGGGGTTCTCCTCAAGGCGGAGAAGTGCTGCTGGTGGCGTGGAGAAGGCTGTCGCCGCCATGTGAAAAGTTGAAAAGGCGAACCGCCCCCTCGGATCCTGTAATGTCGGAATGAACTGTTCTCTCCTCCTTCTGCATCTGCTACTCCAAAGGTGCCCCATTTCTTCCAGCGGGCTCTGATCTGCTCGCCCACGCCCACGAAACCTCAGCAGTCTCCAGCATCGTCCATATCCATACACTATCCTTCCGCCAAGAGCCTGCGCCAAGATGCCGCCTCCAAGAGCCGACGACGAGAACCCTCTGCCGCCCGAGGTCAGCGGGTCCAGCCCGTCGGCGCCCCGCAGGTCCAGCAGCGACGTCACCGCCGTCACCGGAGGCACCCAGATCCAGCAGGCCAAGGTCGGCGGCATGCCCATGAGCGGGGAGGCCGCGGGCGCCGCAACCGTCGCGGCGCTTCTGCGGAACCCCCTGATGGGCATGTCGGACCAGGAGGTGCTCGACGACGCCGACCGGTTCGTCGAGGACAAGGGCCTGACGGAGCACCGCGAGGCCTTCCGCAAGGGCGCCCTCCTGGCCAAGGTCCTGAACCAGGACAACGGCTTCGAGCGCATCGACATCGTGTCCGAAGAGGAGAAGGCCACGCTGCGGCGCGAGGTCTCCAACAGGTGGCACCAGCCCTTTATGCTCTACTTCCTGTCGGCCCTCTGTGCCGGCAGCGCCATAGTCCAGGGGATGGACCAGACCGCCGTCAACGGCGCGCAGGTAAGAACAGGACAGCGCACTGCCTGCCCGCTCAGGGGGGATGGCACCTACACATAATGCTAGCTTTAGCTAACTGCTGCTATCCCTGCCGCGTAGGAGTTTTACTTTAAACCTTTCGACATAGGCGAAGACCAACTTGAGCTCCGTGGGCTTCTTAATGGAGCACCGTACCTGTGCTCGGCTCTCATCGGCTGCTGGACGAACCCCATTCTCAACAAATGGACAGGCCGCCGGGGCACCATCTTCATCTCCTGCTTCATCTCCGCCATTACCGGATTCTGGATGGCGGCTGCCGACAGGTGGGCCTCAAACACGATCCGTTCTTGTCTAGGGTGGGCGACATTTCATAGCTGACTGACACGTATCTCTGCAGCTGGTACAATCTTCTCATCGCCCGATTCGCCCTCGGGTTCGCCATCGGCGCCAAGTCGAGCACGACGCCTGTGTACTCGGCCGAATCGACACCAAAGTCCATCCGAGGCGCACTTACCATGATGTGGCAAATGTGGACAGCTTTTGGTAATTGACCAGACCCAACTCGCAGCATTGTGGAGGTTACCACTCTTGACACTGACATTTTCCCCCCAGGAATCATGCTCGGCTTCGTCGCATCTGTCGCTTTTCAACATGCCGATTTCCTCGGCGAAAACTCCCAGTGGCGTTGGATGCTCGCCTCGACCTCGATTCCCCCGCTAGTCGTCATGGCTCAGGTCTACTTTTGCCCCGAGAGCCCCAGATGGTAGGTTGTGGGGACAGGTACCCGAGTCGAAAAAAAGGCAATGTGGCGGCAATGCTAACTCGAGATGATGTCGGCTGGTGTCGATAGGTACATGGGGGAGGGCAGATTCGACAAAGCCTTTGCATCAGTAAAACGTCTTCGGCACCTCGAATGCCAGGCAGCACGGGATATGTACCACGCATACAAGCTCCTCGAGATTGAGCACCAGCAGCGCGAAGGCCGCAACATATGGAAGGAGTTCTTTATGGTGCGCCGCAACCGCCGCGCCGCCCAGTCCTCGTGGTTCGTCATGGTACGTGATCGGAAGCTCCTTCCCCTGAACCATGGCAAGGCAAGGGTGTAGCCATGCTGACAATGCTACCTCTTTGTTGCTATATCCAGTTCATGCAACAATTCTGCGGAGTGAACGTCATTGCCTACTATTCGACCGCAATTTTCCAAGACGCTGGCGCATCTAGGTCGACGGCATTGCTGGCTTCGCTTGGCAGCAGCGCCATCAACTTCGTCTTTGCCATCCCAGCAATCTACACCATCGATACCTTTGGTCGTCGAAACCTGCTCCTTACCACGTTTCCCCTCATGGCGCTGTGCCTCTTCTTCACCGGCTTCTCCTTTTTGATGCCGGAGGAAACGGCCAACGGGGAGAAAAACCCCGCACGCCTGGGCATGATCGCGGCCGGCATATACATCTTCATGATGGTCTACAGCCCCGGCGAGGGGCCGGTGCCCTTCACGTACTCGGCCGAGGCGTTCCCGCTACACATCCGCGACATCGGCATGAGCAGCGCCACGGCCGTTTGCTGAGGCTTCAACTTCATCATCTCCTTCACGTGGCTGCGCCTCGTCGACGCCTTCTCGCCCGTGGGGGCCTTTTGCTGGTACGCGGGCTGGAACCTGTTCGGCTGGGTCTTTGCCTACTTCCTCCTGCCCGAGACCAAGAACCTGACGCTCGAGGAGCTCGACAACGTGTTTGGCGTCAGCAACCGTGACCACGGCAAGTACTACATGGACAAACTGCCCTGGTACCTGCGCAAGCACGTTCTGCGCCAGGACGCCGACCACTTCCCGCCGCTGTACCAGTTCGCCGAGAGCGAGGGGCTCGTCGAGGCCGACAAGGTGGCCCGCGGGACCGGCGGCGGCAACGGCGGCGGCGACGAGAAGCCGACGGCCCACGAGAACGAGTTGGGCGGCGTCGTGCAGCACGCTTCCAACGCCGATGACCCGGCCTTTGGCGGTCTAGGTGACGAGAAAACGACCAAGGACTGAGGAGGGTGGGTGACGGCCGACGGATTGAGACAGGTTTTGGTAGACTGGGGGTTGTCAGGTATTTGGCGCCAAATAGAATTCGCCCTCAACATTTCCCAGAATCGTCAACGAAACGAGGCGTACAGGAACCCGTATGGGGAGTGGTTTGTTGTAGTGAACAAAGTAGATGCCCTCGCTCAGCGTATTGAATCTAAACACCATGTCAACTCAATCTATCTCGCTCTCACCCCCAATCATAACCCCTGCCCGACCCCGGACGCTGCAAGAATGAGGCGCATCCTTTGCGATCTCCCGCCCAGAGCCACACTCTTTATTTACAGCTCAGTGCTGGGAGCGGATTATTTTCCCCCCCAGCTCGAGTCATTGTCACATGTCGGCGACGCCGTGCAAGAGACGGCGAAGGGGGGAAGTAATTTATTTTGGACCCCTAGAGATTCAAGCGCACGTGGCACAATGACCCAGTGCACCGGATCTGACGCCCGATTTAGCACAACAGTTATCTCGTTTGCAACTCGCATGCGACGCTGCTATACCGCGGGATCTGTTGCTTAAAAGGCGGCATATTAATCTGGGAAGGCTCTGCCGTGGTTGTGTGGGTGCAACTGAGCGAGTCAATGTTGCCAGTGAGGCTGAACTGCCTTGGTCGTGGCGAGGATATATAAAAGCAGCGAGCACACCCCCAAGAAAGGAACCAGGCTGATTCAGATGGGAGCTGTCTGGCCGTGACTTCAACGCGATCGTGGATGGCAATTGATGGAAACGCGCCAGGCTCGAGCACGAACACGTCAGGTGTCCGCGATGGAGAGTTGGCAGGAGCTACCGAGAGCTGCCAAGCACTAGGCAAACGTCCGCCTACATTCTGATGGTGTTGATATCGTCCAATGTTGGATAAATTTTGATCAAATGGAAGGCCGAGAGCCCTGTGCGTTACACGCACCGCAAAATCCATCCAAACCCTTCTCCCACTGCAAAACAAAACATTGATATGTAACAATATCCGAGCTTGAATGTTCTTTCAATCCTACCAGTCGTTCTTTGAACTCCTCCCTGCTGTGTTCTGCAACCCTCGGCTAGGAACCAGGCTAGCGAAGAGTCTAGCGACCGACTTATCCGTCTTCCTTAAACCTCCCAAACCCCCGCGCGGGGGAACAGCCAGGAGAAAACCAACCCAAATAACAAACCACCAACCCGACACCACGATGGCTTCCTGCTGGGACTGCGGCAAACACTTCCGCGCGGGCTTGAAGGCCGTGCGAAACCACCAGTCGGCGACGCGCTGCGCCGAATGCCGCAGGTGCGACGACAAGTTCGACAACGCGAGGGCGCGCCTGGAGCACGAGATCACCGACCACTACCACTGCGAGGACTGCGACCGGGACTTCACCAATGCCAACAACGCCCGGATGCACCTCCGCTCCAAGGCCCACGGCGGCGGCTCCATCGAGTGCCCGGTCTGCAGCAAGGCGTACACGACGGCGACGGGCGTCGTCTCGCACCTCGAGGGCGGCGCCTGCCCCAACGCGCGGCACCTTTCGCGCGACACGCTTTACGGCTTCATGTGCATCAGCGACCCCGGGGGCCTCGTCTGCAAGAAGCTCATCGGCTGGCACGGTGAGGCCAAGTACGAGGCCACGGATCGCACGTGGAACGGCCACGGCTACGAGTGCTACGTCTGCCATCGCCAGTTCGGTCAGCTCCAGAGCCTGAACCAGCATCTCAGCTCTCCCGCCCGTATGTTGCTGCCGACTGACAAGTCGTCCCCGCTTCCCCTCTGTGCCCCTCCTTTTCTTTCCCCCCCCCTTTCCTCCGAGGTGCCCCGTCGCTAACTGCACGCCGGTTCTGCCTCCCCGTCCGTCCAGACCAGCAGGCGTACTATCACTGCCCCAAGTCGACCTGCCGCGTCGAGTTCAAGACCATGGCGTCGTTTATAAACCACCTCGAGAGCGAGTCGTGCGGCTACTTGCGATTCAGCGATGTGCAGAAGCAGGCGACGCTTATGATGGGTGGAGGCCGACTCCTCGGGTACTGATTGGCTCGTTTGAACATGTCATGCATCGCGCACGCCGCACGCTAAGACACATGTGTGTTTTTTTTTCTAACGGAGTCTATGTTGGGGAAGCTGGCTGTAGCGAGGGGTTTGGCTCCCGAAAGCGGGAAAGGGCTGCCCACAGTCAATGGCTTTGTTATGGGGAATAACCTGGCCCAGGAAACCACCAGGATATGCGATGTAAGAGAAGGCCTGAATGGGATGACCATGTATTGTATTTTTCTTTCTTGTTCTCGTTGTGAATAAATGACGTTTGTGCATTGCGCTGTCGACATCTCGCACCAGCTGGTGGCGACCAAGGACACGGGGTGACGGACAAGGTCAACTCGCCGGACTCGCGAGCACGGCCGACACCAACATTAGCATCAAGATTGCAGCGCACATCACGCTCGATGCTGCAGGTGGCTGAAGATGTGACCCAATCAATCGACCCGGAACGAAGCCGCTAGCGGTTGCTGTCACCGAGGCTGGTAGGCGCGCGGGCGCACCCAGTAAAGCTAGCACATACCTTAGCGCGGTTGCAGTTCCAGCCTTTTTTTGCTGGCAGGTTCGGTTACATCACCAGCATTTCCATCCTCTCTTTTGGGACACGAGATGCAGCAATGGTCAAGGCAGAAAAGTCGCCATCCTGATACTAGACCAACAGTTCACACGACACACGGCTCCAAACGGGGGGAGGTAAGGAACCGGTCCTGCAATGGGGGATTTCATTTCGTCCAGACACCCCCTGCCCGCCTGGACGTCACCCCTGCATCTTGCTGGACCGGACGAATGCAACCCTGCCCTGGATCGGCAGGGAATATGGGAAAGCCACCCTTGCAAACCGTGGTGGCGCGCAGACGCATAGACGCACAGATACACGGTCGCACACAGCAGCCAACCGTTGCGCAGAGACGAGCCAGGCGCCACGATATGACATGCCATCATGGGCATGATTGGGAGGATGCGCGGCAATCTCGACTGCGCGCCCACGCACGCAAGGGAGCTGCCAGCTTTGCTGCTGGGCGGCCTGTCTCCCCACCAATGCGCAGCTTCCGTCAACCTCACAGCTCGGTCGCTCTGGACCGCGCGCAATCGACACCTGCTGCGACCTGCCAGCTAGCCTCCCTCCAAATCCTAGAAGGCCCAAATCGCGTTTAGCGCCGTGGAGACCACAACCTCCCCCCATGTCAGCGACCGCATGGCTGGCCCACCTTTTCCTCCGCTCGGAAGGGTGGGCCCGCCGACTTCCCCCCCGTTCAGAGTCGCAGCACCACCCAATTAACCGTGGATTCGAATGCGGCTTCCCCATCGGGTCGGTGTCCCACCTCGACTCGTCTGGCAATTGACTTCCCGTCGTCTCTTCGTTCAATGATTCTGTGTTCTTTTTTTTCTTCTTTTTTTGGGTTTGGTTTTTTTTTCCCTGTCTCCCCTTCATCCCAACCTCCTGTCCCTTCTCCCCCGCCCCCCAGCCTCGCAGACAGGAAGCGGAGCAGGAAACGTGCTGGTCTCAGTCGGTGGATCGAACTTCTCTCCAGGCACAATCCTTTGTCTCTTGTGTCTCTCTCTTATCCTCTGGCCGCGGCTTGTTTTGCCTCGCCTCTCCTTCGAACCTCGATCCCGACCGTGTTTCGTTTGCATTGTGCATGGCATCGTGCTCGTGGCAACTTATTCGCGCACATTTATCCGCCGCTGAAACACCTTCCGCTGCAACAGTGCGACGCCTTCCCGTCGTCCCGTCGTTTCCCTTGTCCGCCGCAATCCAATTGCCATTCCCTTAAACTTGCCGTGGGCCGATCAACGCGCTGCGCGACTTTGCTCCAACGAGGTACAGGACGAATACACGCACACACACACAGTCGGGTTGTTTTCTCCTGGACGCGCCACGAGCACAAGACATTCGCTTTTCATCCACGCACGACGCTTCTAGACCACCAAGATGGCTCCAGGCTTCATCGAGCGCATCCAGGCCAAGATCGAGCTCTTCCGGCTCGAGCAGCGGTACACCAAGCGACGCAACCGCCGCTCCACCTTCGTCTCCAACGCCGTCTACGTCGACGGCGAGTACGTCTACAACACCCCCACCTCGACGGGAAGCTCGACCAACTCGGCCGGCTCGCAGTCCCAGGCCTCGCCCAGGCCCCAGAGCCCCCCGCGGAGGGCCGCCACGGCCGCCTTCACCACCGACAACATCCCAGAGGCGCCCACCATGAAGCCCGGCAAGAAGCTCAACCGCTTCTCATCGATGCCCGGGTTCGGGTCGCTCTCCAAGGCGTCGGGTCGCCAGACTGTTGAGCAGTGGAGGACAGGCAACGTCAGCGTCTCCGAGGTGCGATGAGCGGGCTCCCTCGTCTCCGTTGAGCCGTTCGTCTGGCGAGCCAGACTTCGGCGCCGAACGAAACGCAAACGACGCGCCGCGGGCGCTCGGGCGGCGACTGCACGTCCACTGTAGTTTGACAAGGCGTGTGGGGGCCCGGCCCGGCCTTTCCTGCCTACCATGAAAATACGACAGATCACTAGGCACTAGCAACGCTTAACTCTATTACCAGACCGTCGCACGGCTGGCCAACAGCATTCATTACTCACGACACACTCTTTTTAGAACATTTCTTTCTGTTTCTTTTTCTCTTCTCTTGTCTGTTTATCAGTCGTCTCGAGGGATGGATCCGATTGCCCATATTCAGTCGGCCCCTCCCGCCTAGCATAGCATGTTACCTTACCAGTTCTGCTAGGGGTGTTGGCGGATAGGGGAAAAGGGGGAGGGATGGGCAAGAGAGCGCCACATGGCCTGGCCTCTCTTAGCTACGTATAGAGACTACTGTTTTTTGCGGTCCTTTTTTTTTTTTTTTTTTTGGAGCACCTTTGTAATTTCTTCTCCTGTCCTTTGCTTTGTTTTGTTCTCGCCAAAAATTTGATCGCTCCCGGCGTTTTTGTGGGAAAGCCGCAGTTCTCCTAGATAGACTTGGCTCGGGTTTGTTCAGTGTATATACCGAGGCTTTTTGTACCTGGTCTGGTGGTGGCACCCACCATGCATCTATCGATCCCTTCTTGTCCACTCCCATGGGTGCGTCAGCCTGACCAATTGCTTCCATCCGCTCCCTGCCTCCATGCGGCCTATGATGGGGGTATAAACAATCGGGCACATTTGCCTTGCTGCCTAACCGTGAGATCCTGTCGCCTTCCTTCTTTCCCGGGTTTTTCTCGTTTGCTCTTTGCTTCCCATCCATCATTCCTTCATATTATACTACCTTGCGACTTCTATCCTACCGCGCTTCCAAATATCATTTTCTAATTATTGCTTCCACATTCTCCCATCTGGCTTTTTCCCCTCTAGCCCCGCACGCCCACCACAAACAAAACGGCAGTCTTATAGCCCGTCCCGAAGATTCAAGTCGAATCTTTAGTGCCGGTAAGCTTTCCTATTCCTCTTGTTCTTTCCATTGATATGCCTATTATTATTCCTTTCTCTATGCCCTTTTCTACCTATTCCCATTCTAAAAGCATCTGTCGTTTTTTTTGGTGGGTGTGCCCCGGCTCACATACCCAGAAATGCGATTTCTCAACACAGAAACTCTTGCCTTCGAGGAAGTGGAAGTGCCCGAGCCCAAGTCATACGCCATCCTGTCCCATACTTGGGGTGATGGCGAAGTTACCTTCCGAGATATGGCCGACATGGGGGTAGCGAGTCTCAAGGCAGGATTCGACAAGATCGCCAAAACCTGCCTGCTGGCCAGGCTCGAGGGGTATCGCCTTGTATGGGTTGATACGTGTTGCATCGACAAGTCGTCCAGCGCCGAGTTGTCCGAGGCCATCAACTCCATGTTCTCGTTGTACGCAGAGTCTGGCAAATGCTTCGTCTACCTGGGCGACTACCACAGCGATGTCTTCATCGACACCGAATTCGCCGCGTGTAGGTGGTTCACGCGCGGGTGGACGTTGCAGGAGCTCATTGCTCCAGACGAGCTGCAGTTCTACCAGGCCGGCTGGCAGGCCATGGGCACTAAAAGATCTCTGCTTGGCCACATCCACAACATAACACGTATCCCTGCCGTGGTTCTCGAGGACAGGGAGGCCGCCTTCTCTTGTTGCATCGCCCAGCGCATGTCCTGGGCTGCCGGCCGGGTGACGAAGAGAGCCGAGGACGTTGCCTACTGTCTCTTGGGCCTGTTTAGGGTAAACATGCCAATGCTCTACGGCATGGGCAAAAGGGCCTTCCTCCGTCTGCAAGAGGAGATCATCAAGGACACGAACGATCTGTCCATCTTCGCGTGGGTCGACCGATCCCTCTCCGCAGATACGGAACATGGCGTCCTCGCCGATTCGCCTAGCGCGTTCAAGGGCTGCAGCAACCTCATCTTCAGCGAAGGCGCGACCTTTACAGGATCCTTCAGCATCACCAATGGGGGTTTGCAGATCTGCACTGTTTTGTATGAGGAGTGGTGTACGATGCGGTTCACCGACACACCATGGGCCGGAGGCGAAGAAGAAGAGGATCCTACGCGCATTCGCGAGAAGCTTTATTACCTGCAGCTTTGCTACCGGGACCCCACGGTCCACCGTGCCGACATCATGCTCGTCTTGAGAAAACAAGGCGACATGGCACAGTTCTGCCGGATCCGATGTAACAACTTTTCGACAGCGGAGAGGGTGTCCCACACGGATGGCGTGTTCAAGCCGTACAAAGCGGGGGTATTCCTGGCCGTCACGCCGCAACAACTTTGCTCGACGGGATACCTTTTGATAAGTCACGAATCTGCCTCGCCCGAAATCAGCTGCAAGGTAATCGCAAGCTATCCGACCGGCCGTTGGGATGCGGACTGGGGAGAGAGCGTCAATCAATGTCGCTTCCGCCTGACAGAGGGATTCTTAGGTTTCCGTATCACCCAACTCTTCCATCAACACTACGGAGACCTTGCTTACGCACTGGAGGCATTCTGGCTGGAACCTTCGCTGGACAGTAGCGCAGAGCCGTTTGTCAGGTGCTCCATAAACTACCGACAACCCGTCAGTTGGCGCTTTCTCAGGGACTATGACGACTCGGCAGAGTCTAAGATAGTCAGCTCACCATCAATCAGCCTCTCTGACGCACAATCGATGCTCGCAAAGGAGTGGCCCGGTTTTGGGACACAGCAGTCCGCGTCGTGGGCAATAACCCCGCGCCGCATTGGGGAGAGGTGGCGGGATCGAAAAGAAGGGGACTTTAGTGCAACATTGTCGGTGCCTGAGACTGTGAGGCCGCTGCATTATGAAGGTTCCAGGTCCTCGAGATTCACAACAGCATCGACGCCCCAACGACTTTGTTATTCGGTCCAGATAAAAATCGATCTCAAATACCCGCCAACCGCAGGGCAGACATCTGTCCCGCCAGCAACCATGGAGGGATGACACAGGCCTTGCCCTTTTGTCGCCAAGCTGTCCGCTGGTGCTGGAAAGCAAAAGATTTGTCCCTGTGATGGCAAATGTCTGCACTAGACGCAGACAGCCGAGGCCAGGGCGGCTAGCGCCATCATCTCGGCGCTGGGCATGGCTGCATGGCGGACACGGGAAGGCACCGGAGGTCTCTGATAGGCACGGGCGGCCCCGCCCACGTCAGCCCTTCGGGAAATGGCGTCCGGCGGTCCGGGTGAAGCTTAGGTGGCGCTTACAAACGGAGCGCCCCAGGATGAGAGAGAGCAAGTGACCATTGTCGATGCAGGTAACGTCACTCAAGCACGAGGAAGTCATGTGAATAGCATTGTGTCCCGTTTTAGGAGTCCATGTCCTCAATAGTAACGTGGGATATCGTAGCCTTTGCCCTGTATTGTACAGTCGCTCTTTGTCAGAGATATGCGTGGACGACGGCAAGTCCCTTTGGCACGGAACGCGGCAGCCGCGACACACGTTTCAAGATAAGCCTCAGCAGTCATGTAGTGACCTCGCGTCGTGTGTGGTCCCGGAAATGCCCCCCTCCTCCAGCGCCCAGCTGGCCGACGGGATTTTGCGCGAATCCAGCGGCGCAAGAGGACTTGTGATAAACGCGCACGAAGTCCAGCCACGACCGCTGATTGGTAGTTAGCCGCCTGATTGAGATCAAACGGCTTTAGTACACTCTCCTCGCCTATCTAGATGGAGAAGTTGCCCTCACTCGCACTTCTACAGATTCCAGCGACATGCACTCCTCGAAGGGTGACAGCGCGGTATCCGTGGAAGGGATGCCATTGAAAAAAGGCCAACAGGGTGTCACCAACATGTCAAGACGTGAAAAGGGTGGACATGGCGCATCCATAGACATTCTCGCAGAAAGTTGCCCGTGCGGACATGCCCCATCCGCCCCCTTCCCTTCCCCGCTCCTTGGGCGCCGGGGATCTCTGCAGCCCCAGTCGGGTGAGGGGCCTTATCATCCGATCCCGAGCGCGGAGTGTGCGGCCGCATGCTGGTGCTTCCATGTGCGTTGGCAGAGTGAAGCGAAGATTTAGATCCAAGGCTGAAGGTCGGGGTACACAGCGCCAGGGGAATCTCTTGGTGAAAGTGGCAGATACCTCTTGTCGGACCGGGAAACTGGACTGACAGGCTTCTAGAACATATTCAACGCCACGCCCGTGCTGCAAGAAGGTACAGCCTGTAGTCCGACAATGGAATGCCCCCTGAGGTCTGGAATAAATTGCTTGTGAAGCATTGGTAAAGCTGTCGTTACAAGAAGCCACCATGCCAGGCATCCCAAGATTTTACGAGATGGAGGAATTCGTTGACAGAATCGAATCGCTTTCTCGTTGAAATACAACTGGCGGAGGCGATGCCGTTTGCATACATAAGGGGCCAACCATCCTCCTCGTTCGGTAGGCGGCAGGAATTCCCGACCATAGCGCCCACCCGGGAGTAAGAGCCAAGCCGCCCGTTTGCACTCAAATTATATCAAGATTTCCTTGGACAATCCGAGAAGTGATAACTCAATCCTCCGCGGTCTGTCTGCAGCCCACCCCTGGCGTCTGAGATACCCGCCGGTCATCTCCCCTTCCTTCACCATGGCCAATCCATACGGAGATGGTGAGTTCGCGCATGCGTTCAACCAGCAAGATCACCAGACCCAGCAGGCTTGGAACGCACTGGCAACCACGGTACCTACCTCCCCCGAGGCCCCCCTGAACTCTCTAATCTCGGGCCCGGACTAACACAAAACAAACCAAAAACCCAGATCCCCCCTCCGCCGTTCCGCGCCGAGTGGGGCTACGCGCACGGCACCAGCGACCAGATGTGGCCGCCGGAGCACCTGGGCGGCGAGCCCGAGCACGACTACGTCGAGCAGGTCGTGGTGCTGGTGCAGGGCCTCCCGGCGCAGGCGGCGCGGGGCGACATCCTGAGCGCGGCGCGGGTGCTGACGGGCAACACGGGCTCCTCGTTCGGGATCCACTACGTCACCATCACCCAGCCGGGCACCGCCTACGTCTACTGCGCCGACGTGCGCAAGGCCGCCGGCCTCGCCGAGCTGCTGTCGCAGGGCGGCTTCCCGCCCGACCTCAACGCCAAGCCCGCCCCGTCGTCGTCGTCGTCCGGCGGCAGCAGCCGGGGCCAGAAGAGCAGCAGCGGGAGGAAGCAAAAGTCCCAAAAGGACCCGGCAGCGGCGGCATCGGCGTCGGGCAAGGCCAGGGTGAGGTCGGGCCCGCCCTCGTCCGCGCCCGCGACCCAGCCCAGCATCCCGTTATATACCGAGCACTGCGCGTTCAAGATTTCGTCGCAGTTCCTGCAGCACCTCCAGGAGGTCCGCTTCGCGCGGGGCAACAAGGGCCCGGAGAAGGTGCGCCAGAAGTGGGAGGAGAGCCACCCGAGCGGCCGCCCGAAGCCGTCCAAGAGGTGAGGCAAGGGGTGCGGTCGGATTTTGGGTGCGGCTCAATTCTTCGTGTAGGGGACACTGGCCGCCCAGGGGTAACACAAGGGCCTCATGGTGTGGTAGCACCTGTTGGAGGCTGGAGTTGAGGTTGATATAATTAATATGGGTATACCAAGGGGGGTGGTTGGGGCATATGGCTCAAAGAGGGGTTTTAACATTATGAAGAAAAAATAATAAATATATTGTTATAAGGACCAACGCTCTCGATTCGGCGGAGCAGACCCTGAACGCAAGGTCGAGGGGTGTGCGACGTCGTTGGGTATTGATCTACACGCCGAGGATGGTCAATGGCGAAAACATATATGTATGTGTATCCTGTCAAAAGAGTCTGAATAACTTCAGACGGCATCGCAGGAGAGAAGGTGACGAAAATGACGTGTCTGTTTTCGAGGTTGCATTGAAATAAAGGTTGTTTGCTGATCCTGGTTGCCATGGCAGCTGCGCGTGGAAAGTCAAAACGGACGTCCCTTGCCATTCGGAATCTACTTAGACCCAAATTTAGCAACCACGCCAGTCACGCTCTCATGGGGCCAGCCAAAGCTATGCCGCAACAAGCGCCTAGTGAGTTCAGGCAATGGATGCTAACAAGGCTGGCATGGGCGCTGGCACTGGTGACCCGATGGAGGGGCAGCGGGGCATCAGCAGCGTCACGCCGCAGTACTCGCATCAACAGCCGTGTGCGTGCCGGACACCCGCTATCGGCGTGGAGCTGGGCGTCGGGCAGCAAATCGATAGCCTCGCTTGCTCCAAATGGTGGGCCCGCATCGCCTTGGCTCTGCGCTCTTGGCTTCGAGAATGATGTTGGAATCCCCAGCTTTCCCCCTCCATTCCTGGAGTTGCTGGTCTGACTCGAAATCTAGAGAAATCTTTGGACTCTTGTCTCCACCACGAAGGGCCAAAATCTTGGACATATATCGTTTCAAGCCTCGGCCTCGCGCCGATGGGCCCGCGTCTAAGGATCCTCTTCTGCTTCCGTTTCCGCTTCTGCTTCTACAGTACACAGACTTCGTCGACGGGACCTCCAAGCCGGCCCCAAGCAACGAGAGAGCACTACACACTGATCGGCGTCGCAACCTATCCCTCCTGCTCCCACGATGGACGGCAGAACGCGGTTTCTGCTGGCCGGTCTGGTCCTGGTGGTCTGCCTAGCCAGCCCCGCGCTCGCGTTCGGTGCCGGAAACATCAGCAGCAAATCAGCCATCGAAGGAATCAACTGGCGCCACGGCGACATTGAGGATGCCCTCCTCGGCATTCTGATGGCGCGAGCCATGAACAAGAAGAACAAGAAATTCAGCAAGGCGCGTGACCCGACCCTCTTGGGCATGAGCAACCCATGGGCATGGGCGTGGGACTAACAATATTGTATACGCAGTTGATGGTTTCTAGGGTGTATTTCGGCAACTGGCTGCGCGACTACTCCCAAGCTGTCGATGTCGGCACCATCAAGAGTGTGTCGTACGAGGCCATCAGGCTTGTTGTGTACGTTGAGCTGCCCTTGGCCCTTGGGTCTCGGCTTTGCGGGCCGAACTAACCTCCCCCAAGCGCGATCCTCGCCTTTATGAACTTTGGCTTCGGCTCCAAGGAGTTCGAGGTCACGCCCGAGCGCCTTGGCTGCTACCGACCCGAAGAGCACATCGATAACCCCAAGGGATACGCCGACGGCGACGATGCGCGGCGGTACTGGCATGGGCTGCGAGGCCCCATCGACGAGGAGCTGGAGCTCGCCATCGACGACGTGACGGGGATGAAGAACTACATCGGCAACGAGCGTGCTGGGATCGCCAACTCGGCCAGTCTCTTGCGCAGCCTCCTCGGCGAGTGCATCGAGCGCGGCCGCAGGCACGGACGGGAGGGCAACGAGGAGGACCTGTACGAGTGCCTGCGACTGATGGGCACGGCGCTGCACTGCCTCGAGGACTTCTTCGCCCACTCCAACTACGTCGAGCTGGCGCTGATAGAGCTGGGCGAGCGGGAGGTGTTCCCGCACGTCGGCCGGGACACGCGCATGCGGCTCGAGGGCGCGCGCCGGCGCGTCTACCCGCTCGTGACCGGCAGCTTCGGCGAGGTCGACTTCTTGCACTCGGTCGCGGGCGAGGTGTCGGACAAGCTGATGCAGAACGAGATGCAGGAGCTGCAGGAGCACCTGCAGGACAACCAGAAGACGGACACGAGCCTGCTGCGAGCCCTGCTGGACATGATCCCCGACGGCCTGTTCGGCGGCGAGCACCAGAGCGACAAGATGAGCGAGATTCAGCAAAACTGCACCAACGCGCAGATGGAGGGGCTGGACGTCAGGCCGCACCGCGAGCCCGAGGAGATGACCATCTGGGTCGGCAACATCTTCCGCCAGGTCATCCCGGTCATCGAGTGGCACGACCGCATCATGAAGGCCATCTCGGACGCGCTGCCGACCATCCCCGTCATCCCCAAGATCATCGAGCAGCTCGAGGACCAGCTCAACGCCTTTGTGCACGCGCAGATCGCGCCCTTTGTCGTGCCCGTCCTCCAGCAGATCCGGAACGAGATGGGGGCCGGGTCCGAGGGCATCATCGAGAGCAGCAAGCAGAGCCAGCACAACGTGCTCGAGAACGACGACGAGACCAACCCGACCCACTCGATGCTGTCCAAGGATCACTTCACCAACCTGCTCAACGAGCCCGCCGGCAAGGCGGCCCACGAGATGGTCAAGTGGGCGGTGCCGCACCTGATGGAGGCCATCGACAACGAGCGCGTCAGCGTGACCCGGACGCTCGACCGCATCATCTCGGGCGTCTTCCACCACCCGTGCCAGCGCGACATGGGCGGCTCGGGCGCGTCCGAGGCGCGCAACATCTTCTTCAGCTGCATCGAGTCGTGGTGGATGGAGATGGAGCCCGAGAGGCAGGACGACTACCGCCGCCGCCTCAGCCGCGACGGCGTGCGCAACCACGAGAACCACAAGGAAGGAGAGTGGGACAGCGGCCACGGCCACGGCTGCCTCGGCAAGCTGGAGCAGCACACGCAGCACGGCGGCAAGAAGAAGAAGAAGGATGAGACGTGGGAGGACAAGATCGCCACCTCGGCCGCCAACGCCATCGTGGCCGGCGTCACGGGTGCCGTCAGCGGCTTCATCCCGCAGCATGGGGGCGGCGGCGGCGGCGGCCAGAACGAGGGCGGCATCGGTGGGGTTCTCGGCTCGATCCTGGGCGGCGTGTTGGGCGACGGCAAGAAGGGCTCCTCCCAGGATGGTCGCGGAACCGAAGACAGCGGCGGAAGCAACGAGGCCACGTCCCCCCACGGATATCAAAGCTACGGCGGCTCGTCCTCGTACAACCGGCCGAGCAGCAGGCAGGACCAGTACCTGTCCGCCGACAGCCGCCCAGAGCACTCGTACGGGTCTTCGTCTCGACCGAGCTCTTCTCATCATCGACCTACATCATCACACCGGCCAACATCCTCGCACTCGCACAGGCCAAGTTCCTCGCATCGGCCATCTGACGGCCACGCAGACAGTTTCTATGGCCAAAGCTCGAGCACCAGCGGTGGCTACGGAGGGTCTGACCAGTCTTACAGGCGCGGCGAGTCTCAGCAGAGCAGCTATGGCGGTGGCGACTACGGCGGCCAACAGCAGCAGCATCATTATAGTAGCCACGGAGGCCAGCAGCAATACGGCAGCAGCTATGGCGGCCAGCAGCAGCAGTATGACGGTGGCTACCAGCAGGGCGGCGGCGGGTACTACGGCTCGCAGCAGCAGAGCAGCGAGGAGGATCCGCTCGCCTACGGCACGTACAACCCTGGGGGCCACGAGGGTAGCCATGGGGACCACCAGCAGTCCAGTGGATATGGCTACCAAGGCAGCCCCAACCCGGGAGGGTATCCTGGTCATGGCCATCATGGGCACTCGGGAGGTTCAGGCGGCTACGGGAACGGCCATGGAGGGCCGAATTTTGGGGGGTGGTAGGTATAAAGCGGGAACGGGAGAAGGCAAATGCTCGTATGGTCCACGGGGCAAAGTAGAGAAAATATTACAAATTGAAAGAACCCAAGTACAAGGAAAGCGGAAACGGAAGACAAGGTATTTCCGATAAGAGATACTAACCCTGCCGCTGCGGGCCGTTATGGGGAAGCTGGCGTGCGAGATCGTGACGAGGTCCCAGAACCACCAGACGAAGGAGCCCGTTGTACCCTGCTCTGCGTAGTCCTTGCTGCAGAGGCCATCCAGGGCCGTGGCGGCTTCGGCGGGCGAGGTCGGCGAGGAAGCAGACGCAAGGGTCGAGTTGAGGATTTCAACCACCTTTGCCACGAAGGCAGGTGTACCGTCGTTCTCGAGCTGGAGATGCACGTTGGGCATTTTGATGGTCTTTCTTGTTCTTTTTTGTGGGCTGCAGGAACGTTGGCGAAACGAGAGGGTGATAGTTTTGGCCCCAAAAAGAGCCTAAACCCCGTTTTCTAACATTTCCGCCGCCGGATCTTGAGGGTCTCCCACATTGGGGCCGCTATGCTGCCCACGAACCACTTGTTTGTCGGACGCTCCGTGATGGGCTCTATCTCGTAGTGCAGCGCAATGTACGCCAGCGCGAGCTTGAGCTGGTTGGCCGCGAAGAAACGGCCGGGACTGGGATGCCAACCTCCAAATTAGTCACCATCCAAGTAACAGGTATTCGCGCGCATATTGAGGGGGCCACCACCACATGCAGGGAACTCGACGCTTACCAGGCGTTAGGGCCGTGCGAAAAGGCCAGGAACGTGGGCGACGTGGACACCAGCGCCTGTGGCTGCTGCTTCTCCCTCTCGCCACCCGGCGGCTCAACAAACCGGAAGGGCCGGTACTCGGCCGCGCCGCCGTACACATCCTCGTCACGGTGTACGCTGTAGGCCTGGACGCCGACGGTGGCGCCACGCGGCAGGCGCGTGCCGTCGGGCAGGCGGACGCCGCCGGGCGCCACGACCGACTTCATCACGCCGCGGGCGACGAAGCCGCTGAGCCGCATGCTCTCGCGCAGGGCCGAGTCGACGTGGCGGAGGCGGGCCAGGGCGGCCTTGGATGCCCACGGCGGCGCGGCCTTTGTTGTTGTTGTTGTTGCTTTTGTTGTTGTTTCGTCCTGCTGTTGCAGTAGGACCTCGTCGCGCATGGCGTCGAACCACTGTGCGCTGTGCGCGGGCGACGCGGCGAGGTCGAAGAGCGCGTTTGTCAGACTGATGACGGACGACTGGATCGCGGCGAAGCAGAGGCACGCGAGCCGGCCGGCCATGACGTCGGGGGACAGCTCGGTTGGGTCCCAGTGGGCCTTGGCGTGGGAGATGGCCCAGTCGAAGTAGTCGTTCTGGGAGGGGTAGTTGGTTGTGTTAGGATATAGCAGTGTTATATTTGGTCTTTTTCACTTACCTTTTGTGTCGGCCTGTCATCAGACTGCTTGTCGTCCGACTCCCTGAGCCGCTCTTGTATTATCGGCATGACGTGCTTGGAAAATCTTCTATAGAGCATCTTGTCGTAGGCCGTAACGATCGGGGCAAAAATGCTAAAAGCGGCAAGGTGAGAGTTGACGTTAGCGGCAGAAACCACCGCCCATGATCCAAGCATAGCACTCACGGCTTGAGGAAGCCCGGCAGCAGGTTGAGGGCCGCCGCGGACACGACCACGTTCTTGTCGAACCGGCGGGCGCAGCTCAGGAACTCCTCGTTGCGGCACAGCTCCTCGCCGACGAGGGCGCGCACCGACAGGCGCGAGATGGCGTCGAGCACGGTGTCGTAGACCCTGACCTCGCGCCACCTCTCCGCGTCGACGCCCCAGCCCTCGCGGAAGCAGCGGTCGAGCTCGTCGGCGATCCCCGCCGCGAAGCAGCCCAGGCGGCCGGCGCCCAGCTCGCGGCGGATGACGGCCGGGTGGACGGGCTCGCGCACGATGTTGGGGTGCGGGAACGTGTGGTCGGCCTCGAGGAAGCGCCGGTTCACCTCGGTCTGGCTCAGCACCGAGTCCGGCTGCTCGAGCAGCCAGCGCATCTGCGACGGCGGGAGCACCACCTCGGGCCCCGTGAGGACGTGCGGCAGGACGTAGGCCTGGTTCCTCTTGGAGTACTGGCGTTTTGGAATGGGTTGGGTTTGCCCCCGTGTTAGTGGACCCTGCTTTGGTGGTAGATGGAAACAGTAGGGCAGGCCGGCCTACGGTCTAGCAAACGCCACCCCGCTCACCTTGTAGTACCCTTCGTCCATCAGCGCCTTTAAGCCACAAACGCTCGCGAGGTTCGCCCTGGCGCGGGATAACGGGCCACCGGTCGACCCTACGCCCACCCACGAGATATTATTGGGAATGGATGCATTGGAACAGAGCCGCCACGCTAGGTTGACCAAAATGATAACCGGTACCAAGATCGTGCCGACAAAGAGTGCCCCTATTAGCACATGAGGACTAAACGCCAGCAGGGCCATTGTAGATGTCTTGCGGCCTTGGAGGGAACGGGAGATGACAGGATTCCCTTGATGTCAAAAAAGCCGCTCATGGGGCGGGGGAGACGTGCCCTGAAATAGCCCTTATCTGTACAAGAGACAGGGCAATGCGATGAGGCCTATAGGGAGGCAGTTCAAGTCCTAGGCGCTATCAACACTCGGACAATGCACAGCTGACAGAAACGGCACCAGACGTTGCTTTTGCCATTCCTGAAACCCGCCGAAGACAATACAAGCAAGAAAAACTGTAAAAGATAGCTGCCACCCAACCAACTACCCCTGCGCGTTTATTCTGCGCCAGCGGACCTGCATCCGCCCGCCTTGACTGTTAGTGTCACACCTGGAGGACCGGGGAAACACACATCACACCCGAGGCGAATAATAATGCTGCTTTGCACGGGAAAGTATATCCGCACACCACGGTAGCCCGTTTTATTTGGCAATGCCGGGAAATGGAGCACTAGGCAACTACTCCCCGCAAGCCCCGAAGCGCCTCTCAAGGCCCGGCTCCCTTGCTGGACTCGGCTCCAGACAAGGCCCACGGATGTAGTCCCGGCCACGCGTCAGGGCGGGAGCGATGGGGGTGACATGGTGGAAAGAAGCAACTTGGACTGCGCAATCTCCACAATGGCAGGCCGAGCTTGGGGTGAATCGACGACGGCTGCCATTTGTCCAATGGAGGGGGGAGCCGGGGGTGTTACCGATAGCGCGCAAGCATCGATAAACAAAGGGGGAAAGTGATCGACATCAAATATACTGACGATCTGACCCCTTGGCCCGTGCCGAGGCGCAAGGAAAGCCAGAGAGAGGTTAGGTTGTGGACTTGGCGATGCAACAGGAAATCTCCTGCACCGGTCCCCTAGCCATGGACTTGGGATGGCGGACGCATGGGCATGGGGTCGCATGGGGGTGTGGACATGCGTATGTTGGATCAATGCGAATGGATGCAACCTGAAAATGAAAGTTTACCACCATCTGTTCAGCTGAGGACAGGGGGGGACACTACTGTCGTCCAAGCCTATGACTCCTGCCCAAGGGCGCGGCACTATCTTGAATTGGGAACAAGCCCCTTCCGCAAAAGGGAGCCGAGACTCACCAACAACTCGTCATCCGAGCGTGCCGAGACACTGAAGGCCCAGAGCAACGACCAGCTGGTTGTGGAAGGGACAGATGAAGAAGAGGCTATGCCGGGAAAGGAATGAAATCCGGTGGGCAAAAGATGTGAAAAAGCAAAACGCTGACCAATAACCAAGGCGAAAAGGCTCGTGTCCAATGCCAAGTCCACAGGACGCAGCCACATTATCTCCTTTCGCTCCAGCCAAAGTCAGCAAGCAAGGGACCATGCCGGAAATATTTGGCTGCCTATCCCGCATACGGAGATCTTTGTAGGCAAGGGGGGGCCTTCTAGCCTCACCTTGGGTCCCCGTTTTTATTTCCAATCTGGGTCTAATGTGGTGTTTGTCGCCCAAGACCTGACGTGTCGCCGGCCTACCAACCACGGCCGGCTTCGAGCGCGCTGTTGGCCTGCTGCCATGGGCTGGTCCGAGGAGGCCCAGACCCTCCAGTGCCCCGACCGCCCCGAGAGCGCAAAGACATATCACAGAGACCTTCCCTCCCGCTACCGCTACTGCTACTACTAGTACCGCCACCCGCTCACTGTCGCCATCTCGCGAGAGATAAGTCCAGCACAGACACCGCCACTACCCGAAACGACGACGACGACGACAAGGCCCCCGCGACCCGCTCCCCTTCCCACAGACAGCAGCCCCCTCCTTCCCTCCCTACACACACACACACACACACACCAAAAAGCGCGATGCGTCTCCCGCAGATGCTCGCCGCTGCAGCGGCCGCCGTCCTCTCGGCCGCCCCCACGGTCGTCGCGACGCCGCACCCGCACCCGCACCCGCAGCCCGAGGCGGCGGCGATGCCCGGGCTGCTGTCCGTCGCGGACCCGGTGCTCGACCTGCTGGCCATGCCGCCGCCCGAGATGCTGCGCACCACCAGGCGGTCGCCCGAGTGCGCGGCCATCAACGGCGGGGAGCTGCAGTGCTGTCGCGGCACAATGGCGGGCGACGTGCAGCTGGTGGTGTGGCTGGCCAAGCTATACGGGTACAAACTCAACCCCAACGACATCAACGGTGTAAACTGTGCGTTTTTTTTTTTCTTATCCCACTTCCCCTGCTGCCCCCTACTGTCAGTCAGCTTTGGGTCGAAGAAAGCCCTTCACATGTGCTAACCGATCCATCTCACAGGCGATGGTGAGATTGCCACCTGCCCTGGCGTCAAGGTCTGCTGTCAAGTCACAGCCCTGGTATGTAAAGGACCTCGATGGCATCTAGACGCCGAAGCATATGCTAACGGAAGTAACAGTCACCGCTTTTGTCCTTGTGGTGTCAAGATTCCTGATGATTGGGAGGAGGATTGAAGTCTTGTTTTCAAGGATGCATGATACAGGTATCGATGTGGTGAGAAGATGATGCATCATGAATGTGACAAAAGAGAAAAGAAGCCAAAATAAAGAGCAATAAGAAGTTTGAACATAAAAGCCACTGCTCTATTCTAGTAGTCTTTTAGACAGCGGAATCATGGCCTCCTAAAAATGCCCTTGCCAAACCGGGTTTGCTTTGCTTGCTCCCACAATCCGCCATGCGTATAGAATCATAATAGTACATTCATCAGATAAAACCGCCAACCGCCAGTATATATTCGATATTCCCGCTTACTTCTGGCGCTTCAGCGTCTTGACTGCCATCTCAATCAGGCCGTCCTTGGCCTCGCAGTCAGGGAAGTGACTTATGGCAGCGATGGCCTGCTCCGAGTAGTCCTGGGCCAGCGCCCGCGTCTGTTCTATACCATCGCTTGCGAGGACGATCTCTCTTGCCTAGAGCACCGAGTCAGTTACGTCATCTGCGTTTATCAGGGGAAAATGAATGCGCAAAACTCACCCTTTCAACATCTCCCTGCTGTGCAAATTTCCTCCCCACGAGCTCGCCAAGCTCCGGATGCGTCTTCCAGGCAAAAAGCAGCGGCGCCGTGGCCAGGCCCAGCTCCAGGTCCGCGCCGGCGGGCTTCCCCAGCTCCGTGGCGGATCGCGTGTAGTCGAGCATGTCGTCGACCAGCTGGAAGGCCAGGCCGAGGTTCCGGCCGTAGGCGTAGGCGGCGTCTACCGTCGCGGCGTCGGTGGAGCCGAGGAGGGCGGCGGCGCGGCAGCTCTTGCTGATGAGCGAGGCGGTCTTGAGGTACGTCTTCTGCAGGTAGTAGGCCAGGGCGTCCTCGCTCCAGCGCGGGCGGGACTCGTCTCGCGTTGTGTTCTTGAGCTGCATGAACTCGCCCTCGACCAGGTTCGCGATGACGGTGGCCAGCAGCTCCGTGACCTCGGCGTCGCGCAGGCGGGCCAGCGCGACCGAGGCGCGGCCCAGCAGGAAGTCGCCGCCCAGGACGGCCATCTTGTTGCCGAACTCGAGGTTGGCCGAGGGGGACCCGCGCCGCGAGACGGAGTGGTCGATGACATCATCGTGTAGTAGCGACGCGGTGTGGATCAGCTCGGCGATCTCGGCTAGCCGTCGTTGGGACGGGAGGATGTCTGGGTCGCCCTCGAGGGTGGTGGTGGAGGGCGAGGACTGGGATGTGGGCGCGGCGGCGGTCGTCGAGGGGTTGACGTCGCCGAGGATGCCGAGAGGGGTTATAGGAGCGTCGATGCCCGGGGCGGCAGCGTCCATGTAGCGGTTGCGGGGTGCCTTGGGACAGAGCGAGGTTGCGCGCGACATGAGCAGGACGATCAACGGGCGTACGTGCTTGCCCTCGGCCTGTGTGTAGTACTTTGCGACGCGGTCTAGCGAGGGGTGCCCGGAGCCGAGCAGCTGGCGAATGTTGCCCGTCAGAAATTTCATCTCCTTAGCCACGATCCTCAGCGGGTCGATGCCGAGGTTGCTCTTTGCCGCCCGCGAGATGGCGTTGGAGACGACATTGCCGGCGACCGACACAGCCGCCGCCCATGCCGACGACCTCCTGGGGGACGAGTGGTACGGCGCCGTGCTCTCGTGCTGTGTCCGCCGTGTCCTCCACTGCCCCGGCGACGGCTGTGTCCTCAAGCAGGCCAGACAGGGCGAGGGCCGGGCCGGGCGCATGTGCAGGCGGGCGCCGGCACCAGCGGCACCGCGCACGGCCGAGGATCCCGCTCGGAGCTGCATGGCGAGAGAGGGGCCAGTAGCGGCCTGGCAGAGAGGCCTAATTGATCTAAGGCCTCACCTCGGGTGGACGCACGGCATGAAAGAGGGCGTCTCGGGTCTCAGGCGGGAGTGTTCGAGGCCGGCGCGGGGTGGCAGCGGCGCTATCACTTGTGGTTGGGTGCGGCGGTTCCGGGAAATCTCGAGAAAATCTGAAATCTGGACGGGCTGATGCGCTGACGCTATTTTTTTTCTGTGCTGCCCCTCACCCCAGCCGACTGGAGCTGTGTGCAGCGCTGCGTGGGGCTCACCCCATGTCGATGGGGCCAGACCCAGAATCCGATCGGCTGGAACTAGGCGGGATGCAATCATCGCCGACAACCTTTGTCAGCCCGGCCTGGCATTGCACCGACGAGAACTGCCGACGAGGATTGTTGTCCATTTGTATCTCGAACAGGCGGGGACCGATTCATGACGAGACACATGCATCCTCAATCCACTGGGTGCTAGAGACCACCCACCGCCCGCTATCATGGTCCTCCTTACAATCACCGCCTCGATGCTCGAGGCGATCCACGAATGGCGAGATCGAGCACCAGACGAGGATTTGCCCCAGCAGGCCGACGGCGAACCCTCGCTTTCCGACCCCGCCGTGGGCAAACCGATATCGCATGCCCAGATCATCGAGCTACGGAACGGGCTGAGAGAGAAGGGCTGCGACAGCTTCAGCCTCGAACGGCTGCTGGTGGGCTCGACGGTGTTTGTTCCGCCGCCACCACAAAAGCCTGAGCATGTACGAGCAACCTGCCACATTGTCAGACATGAAGTCGAGTTCCCCGCTAACGCAAGCCGTCTGCCGTCTGGACAGACCGACGAGTACAAAGCCCTGATGGCCCGCCTCCGCCGCGACGAAGAAGCCCGCGCGTACGAGCGCATGGTCAAGCCGCAGAAAAATCCGGCCGACTCCCTCCACTCCCCGCACCGCTTCTCCTCCTCGACGGCCCAGGCGTCCTCGTTCGCGGCCGTGAATCGCCCACAGCGGGAATTCGACATGGGCGACGGCGAGGACGAGATGATGGTTGGCGATGTGCATCGCCAGCTCATGCTGGTGCTCAACTTCCTGCTCAGCATCTTTGGCGTCGCGGGAACGCTCTGGGTGCTGGCGCGCTGGTGGAGCACGCCCGCGCGCCTGTTGCTTTCCATGTTCGGGGCCGTCGCGGTGGGTGTCGCCGAGGTCGGGGTCTACTATTTCTACGTCTGGCACCTTGCCGATGCGAGCAAGAAGGATAAGAAGCTCAAGGAGCGGAAAACGATCGTCCAGAGCTGGGTTGTTGACCCATCGGAGCCCAAGGTGGCGTTGGCCGGGAGTGCCAACCCGGACAGTTTGGGGGACGGCCCGGCGGTGCGCAGAAGAAAGAAAGCATGATCGTGTACTGTGTATGTCGGGGCTGTTGCCCCTTCAATCTGTTATACAATTGACCATCCAAGGCTTCACACCCCTGAGCTCTGCTGGCGCTGATTGATCCACTCACCCGCAATATAAAATCACGTGCCGACGCGTACCCTGTTACTGTTTGCCAATTGACGCCCCACGTCTTGCCGCGACCCCGCTCTGCTGTGCGACGCGTCGCGCAATTCGCGTCGGATACCTGCAGGGAGCTTGAGCTTAGCCGGGTTCATGTTTTTGATGTCATTCAATCCCGACCCAGTCTACCAGAAAACATTCCAGAAAATCCCTATTCCCAGACTCCAGATCTTCCCCCGACTAGCTCTGCCTGAACTCTCCTGCCACAGGCGAAGTGCTTGGTCCGGTTGTGTTCCGTGGCTTTGCACTCCCACCATGCCGTAAGTGGTGGCCATGTCTCGAGCTCATTTGGACGACCCTGGTACTAACTGGATGTCTTGATGCCCTCAGTCTCTCACAATCCGGAAGCAATTCGCCAATAATACCAGAACTAGAGCCCGCGCCAAAGCGTCGACGGCCACTTGTGACTTATGGGAAGCGGAAGCCTGCGCCCCGAGAGACGACACCACCTCTCAAGAAGCGTCGGCTAGAAACTCCGACGGAACGAGACCCATCTCCAGTCGACGAGAAATCCATAATCGCAGCGACTTCGCCAACGCCAACACCAACACCGACGAGCCCGCCAAAAACATCCATCCTGAGATACTTCAAGAAGGTCACCACCAGCCCGACTTCAGCGTCGGAACAGTCCTCAACCGTAGTGTCCGCCTCGCAAACCCCAGATTCGACCCCAGCGGCATCTCCTTCAAGAATAACAACTCCGGAGTCAAGGCCAAGGAGTCGTAGGAGGTTGACCACGCGGCCCTTCGCTGGCCTCGATGCGGCCAGCATGCACGATAACGAACGACGAACCGATCACGTCCCCGAGACGAGACGACATGCTACCGATCCTCCGAGCGAGTCCTCGCCACAGCCGACCGCTTCCGACAGTAATGCGCTCAGTGATGCGTCGACGAACACAACCCAGTCAGCGTGCAACTGCAGCGACAGGCCATGTCGCCACACCAGACGGGCACGGTCTAAGCGGGCGGGCCACAAGCCGCCCGCGGCCACGGTGCAGATGACGCTCAACCTCTCGACGCGCGACGCCAGCATCAAGCAGTGCAGGGAGTGCGACATGATGTACAACCCGCTGCACCCGAGCGACGTCAAGCATCATGCCAGGCACCACGCGTCGGTGGTCAAGATGAAGGCTGCGGCGGGCTGATGGTTGGAGCATGGTACCCATGCCTTTGACGGCCATGCCTCGGCCTCGGATATCCCTGAGGCGTGGCGTCTTATATTCCTGGCCCAACAAACGACTACCGGCATGAAATATCGACGATTTGCTGCTTGGCCTTTACGCCACCTTGATATCGTCCACATAGCCACATCCGTCTTGTCTGGCTGTTAACATTACCAAGGCTGGCGCGGCGAGGAGGCGTGGCCCGAGGGATCCCGACGAGATCAGGGCGTGGCTCGCTGTAAAGCATCATGTCGATGTTTTAAAACCACCGCGTTTGGGTTATTTTTTTGGTCGTTCTGACGGGCGGTTCAGGTACCTCCGAAGCCAGCGAGGGGCTTCTGCTCCCTTTGTGTATAGCCAGAATTCCATATCTGTGCCATGCCTGTACATACATTTCTGGCGCTTGATAAATAATCACGGTGCGGACATACATCATGAAGATCCAACTCACGATAAGTTGACTCGATAGAGGCGCCATCTGGGGCGACTCCTATCCCAAAAGCCTTTCCCAAGTCCCTACACAGCTCGCATGCGGGGAAACCCTTTCATCGGGGTGCCCCCCTTATGGCAATTCTAGACAATGAGGACCTGATGAGACTGTCGGAGCTTGTTGGCGGTTTGGGAATGGTGGCGGGCTGGAGGATCATCACTGAGCCGTCTCACAAACTGAACATTTCCTGGTAGACTAATCTGATTCTGGGGAAAGCTGGGTCCCCAAACGTCTTTGATGCCATCCAAGGCTATAGCGCATCCTAATCAATGACGCTGCCTTAAAAGTCGATCAGCGTGGCAAGACATAGTCCTCGCTGGCTGTGGGGTTTGTTGTGACGTAGAAGACAAGTGGTGACGAGGTATTTACATGAGAGTGCCCATCGGGGCGCATGTAAAGGCCCAGCCCCGAGCAGGTGGGCAGGTGTAGAGCTGGAGTTACCTCGGGGCTGGATGAGGAATTTGCCGGCGTCGCTGAAGTACCAATCTATCACGTTTCTCAGCGACGGGCGTTTGCGAAAGGAGGTGTTTGGGGGTTTGTTTACACGTTGGTCAACCAGAGAAAAGAAACCAGAGAAAAGAAACCAGAGAAAAGAAACCAGAGAAAAGAAACCGGAAAAAGGAAATTAGAAAAGGGAAACCGTCTTTTAACCAATACCAAGGCAGCGGGGAAGGTGCATCCTCCCAGCACGACTTCCAGCCCATTGTCGCTACTATGTAATCGTGCTCCTGGCCAATAGCGCCTCGCATGGACATCGATCTTGCTGATGGCTGCCCGGTGCTCTCGGGGTTGGGTGATTGGGTGAGGGATTGGGTTACCTGGTACGAGGTGTCTGCGAGCCAAAATGCTCGTAATGAAGGCAGTGCAAATGCTTGCATATTTCCGCCGCTCGTCGCTCGGTCGTATCTGCTCATGATTCATGAAACCCCACGAAGGAGCCATATCCTCACCCTCGGTCGACACCCCTCTAAAGCGAAGCAGCCAGAACGACTAGACTTCCAGTCACGTCCCATGGCTATCGCCACACGATGTGCGGATTCGCGCCTCGATCCATCGCCAGTCTCGCCATTCTCGGCTGCCGGCCCTCCCAACTTGCCATTTCGACAAGACCAAGGACAGGCGCAGTTGGAAAACTATTCGGATTGGTACTTGGGTGATCCATCACAAAGGTTTGCACATCTCGGGATGGCGTCATCACTGGTTCCGTCGCCTTGAGGCACGCTTTCTTACTGGCCCTTTTTTTTGCGCTCAATTACAGATGGACCGACCCTGCCAGGGACGCGTTCGATAACGCCATCAAAGTTCTGCAGAGCGAGCTATCGAACGACGAATATCAGGCGATATGGCTACATGGACAGGCCTCGGTCCGCGACGTCCATACTGCCGTGGCGGCGGCAATGGAAGAATACAAGTCCAAAGCGCATGATTCCAAAGTTCGCAGATGGCTTTCCAACTGCTCATCTCGCATCATGTACTACGGAGGTATGTGGACCTTAGGATTGGCCATATCCCCCTTTCGCTTGGTGACTCCTTGCTCTGACTGCCCGGATCTAGCCATCTTTGACATGTTTTCTTCGCACCACCCGGAGTACGTCTCTCTCGCATGGGGTACCATGAAGTTTCTGTTCATTGTAGGCTAGTCTCAAGATCCCTGCCACGTCATGCACAGGTGAACTCCATTCCTCTGACATGCGTGGATGGGAACCTACAGGCCGTTTTGAACCACGAGGAGCTTCTTACCGAGATTTCCAAGACCATCGCCAGGATCGCCGATGTACTGCCACGAACGGAGCTGCTGTCGGATCTATACCCGACTCCTCGGATGCAGGAAGCCGTGTCGCTTGTTTACGCCAAATCATCGAGTTCCTACTCATATCTATTAGATGGTATAAGAGGGGCAAGCTTGCCTCCTCGCTATACGCAATCGGCAAGCCCTTTAGTGTCGTAGTCAAGCCTATTGTGGAGGAGCTGACGGAGCTATCGAGACGAGTGATGAACTTGCAAGCGCTGCATCAAAAGCGGAGATCAGAGATCTTCATGTCAGCATACGATTGCTCAACACGACAGTGGTGCGGCTCACTGAAAGGATTGCTGGTTAGTTCACGCATGGGGCGATATACCCGTTATCGGTGACCTCGTTTCTAACTGGCTGGGGGTTAGTCCAGCAGCAGCAACAGATGCTACACAACCAGTCGCTGCTGGCCTTTCAAGGCGAGTACAAGCACATGCTCCTCAAGGGCCAGATCGACGAGATTAGAAACAAGCTGCTTCCAGACAGCGAGGGGGCCGCGCCAGATGAAACCCTGGCATATTGTAGGTCGTTGCGCAACCGACGCAGGCAGAGGATGCCCACCCAGCTGCCGAGCATGGCACTGGCTACCCTCAAATCGTGGATTGCCGACCCGACCTCATCGCTGTTGCTCGCAAATGGCAATGGCGTGCGAACCAGCTCACTGGACTTCGCGGCCGACTTCCTCGATGCTGTCCTCGAGTGTGGATACCCAGTCCTATGGGCGCTGCCCTCCATAGCGCCGCAGGGCCAGCATGATAGCGGAGGCGATGACAAGGGGTCGACCGGTGCGCCCAAGACAGATGCGAGGCCTTCCTCAACGGGAATTCTGCGCTCGTTGATCTCTCAGGCTCATGCTCTAGATCCCCACATTGTCGCCGATGGTTCTCATCCCATTACAGCCAAGCACTTCAAGACGGCATCTGGTATCGAGCAATGGTTTCAGCTGCTTGAGAGATGTATGGCGGCTTTCCCGCGCCTTTTTGTCGTCTTGGATCTGGGCTTCGTTGAACTAGCAGCAGAGCACCCCGAGACCGAGCACGAGTACTTCCGGGTCGCGGACTTTGCAGAGCGTCTAAGAGAAATTGTGAGGCGGCGCGACCGTGGCGGCCTAAAGGTTGTGGTCGTCTCATGGCAGTTCGCCGTCGCCACGTCGATGGACGCGACGGAACTGTTCGAGGAGTGGCAGATATTTACCGACATGGGCCGTAGAGTCGAGCGGCTAATGCGACAGCCCAAGTACCGCGCAGTTTATAGGAGAAAAAATGAGCAGTTTGCTCTCAGGCTCAGGGCCTCGGTTGCTCAGCCGGAGGATTGACTCTGCGCATCAAACCAATACCACCCCCTATTTCTTGATGCTATATTCGCACGCCTACCATAAAAAGATGGCAGTGATGATATGTGCTTTTCCTATTTTTATTTTTATTCTTCTTCATAGTATTCCTAGCCTGATTCTTATAGCAGCTTCTCTGATATTTGCTAGGATTACCATCTTTTTTGTGATGGGCGTGCTCGGGTACAATAGCCGACCATAGGATTATCACGGGCCATGAGCGCACCGCATTAGGAGGAAAGGCTGAGAGGTGCGGGGGATGCATGAGCAATCCTGCTGCCTGCCCTATACCAATCAGGCGATCGCTCTCCTGGCAGCAGTCCTCAGCGGCACCTTCCCCTCCATCCCGAGCGTCAACCCGCTTCGACACAGAGCATAGGATGCAGTCGCGACTTTCCAAACCTCATTCGCGCCCGTGGCTTCCATCACATCCAGGACTATTTTCCTGTTCCATAAGTATCGGCCCAGCCTAGAACCCACGTGAAGCCAGAATCCTGATAGCCTAGGTCCTGTCACGATGGACCCCCGTCGTGGTGAGGTTGGAGGGATGCGGGTAATCGACGATTTCTAGAGATGACACGGTTGACAATGCAACCAAGGAGCGCCAACTTGTCTCGCAGCTTCGCGAGCTCCAGGGAGACAAGGGTAAATACTCAATTCCGCATGTCTTGTTCGGTCGCTGACTTCCTCCCATCAAGCCCTGGCGCTCAACAACCACCACAACGCCTCCGACGCTGATGACAAACGGCTTGGCCGCCCACCTATCCCACCGGGATTCATAGCACGATTTCCATCATTGTCTCCTAGACCTTCGGTCACTCGGCCCGGGAGTAAGCTACCCATTCGCTCGATGTACAAAGTCAATCCAGGGGCATCATGGCGCTCAAATCCGAGAAGGGCTAGGGCAGCCCTGCAAGAGTGTGCGACGCAAACGTAGGGCTGGTGTTGCCGGGGGCAAGCCCAAATACTCCTGGCAGTTTGGGATGTGCTGGCCTTCAACCAACAAACGAATATCCCCCTAAGCTATCTCCGCATACCCTTGGCGAAGCTGCAAGCTGGCCTGAGCCAAGTGAAGCTATCGGGGTAAGCAAATTCGGGGGCCTTGGCCCTGCAAGATCAGGCATTCTTTCACCAGAGGCGCTACCAGCCACTTCACTCAGGCGCGCAATCTCGCCTGGATCAGACAAGCATGAGACGAAGCTGGGTCTCGCAGATGCCCTATGTGCTGTCGCCGAATCGTACCTGCAAACCGGCCTTCTCGAGCGGGGCAGTAGCACCTCTACGTTTACTGGTTATCTTCTCGACACCATTGAGCTTCTCTCCCAGAAGGTGGAATATCTGGAAGCTTCCGATCATCCCTACGACTCCGATGAGTCCGGTTCCACATCCACCATAGAAGATAATGATCAAGCTGAAGCGCCCAAGCCCGAAGCGACCGAGATGGAGTCACTAGAGCCCGAACCACGCATGCGGGTCCTGCACAGAATAATATGCTCTAACATGAGTCACAGGTATAGCGGCGAGATCTTCGAAGACAAACCCGGGTTCTGGAAGGTCGACGCAATGCTGCATGGCAAGAGACCGGTCATGAACTTGGACAGGTACATCTCGCGGAATCCGGAAGTGTCATTCATCGTTTTTGCCGAGCATCATTGCGTGGCACGAGGCGGCCAGCTCAGTCAATCATCGGAGAAGCCTGAGAAGATACGCATTATATCGCCATCTCTCTACAAAGCACTACTTAGATGCGCACGATTCCGTGTTTCCCGCGATGAGACCGCTATCGAAATAGAAGCTCCGTACGATTTCCTCTATCATCATCGACAGGGCTTGATTGCCATGGCCAAGGACTCTGATCTTGGAAAAGCCATGTTGCCGTTGCTAGAGTTTCTGGAAAGGAACTACGCTCAGCACTACGACGGGTGCGAGAGAGTGATTTCAGGTGGTAGGATCACAGCGGCACATCTGCGGAAACTTTTCCGGCCAAACCAAATGGTGGTGTGCCGAAAGTTTGGCCAACCCTTGGATGCCTTCGTTCTCACAGGCTATCCTACTCTGTCGCCTAACAAAGAGAGTCTGCTATTTGAGGGCTGGGAATGGATATATGATGGTGCGAAATTGAAAAGGCAACCCCGCATGGAAGCCATAGCTCTGCTATCCGACGAGGAGACTGAGATCGCCGATCTCAGCATCTATCCATTCGAATCTGCCAGACCCGAAGACATGCGCTTTCTCACCGAAAGAGGGAAAAAGTTCTGGGAAATGAGGGATATGACTTTCGTCGCCTACACTGGGTGGAACTTTCAACGAAGCTTCAAATACGTAGGTTGGGCTGTCATTTCATCTCATCCATCAGTGTGCCTCCCAGTCTTAATAATTATAGTAACTAACACTGGCTCATATAATTAGCTTCAACATAGATTCGTCGTTGACCACGCTACTTACCGCCTGATTCATGACCCCTCGAGCGAAGGCGGACGGCCGGGGGTCTACAGTCGCATCGACTTGCAAACAGCGCACTATCCGTACTATCCGTGGCCTCATATCGGCCGAGATGATGAGATCCCAACAGCGGCGGCTTCGCTTCTCCCTGCAGCGGTCTTTGGGTTTGATATCGGCCAGAAGAAATGGGGTGAGTCGCGAACACTAGGCACTATCGTGCTCGGAAGAGGACCACTGTTGTAGCTAACGATTTTATTACAAAATTTAGTCAAGCTCTTGGTAGAGAACTGTCATGCCGCGTCTTGGAACACCAAAGCCTTTGACAGGCTTGTTCTTGACCCCAAGACAAAGGAAATGATTAGGGCACTTGTCGAAGTACAAATGAAAGCCACGAGAATGGAGGGCGTCATAGCCGGGAAGGGGAGTGGACTTATAATCCTGCTACACGGAAGTCCCAGAACAGGGAAGACTTTAACGGCCGAAAGGTAATTGCCTCACCCGCTTGATTTTGTAAGGGATTGAAGTGGTTAGACTTTTCTAACAGTGCTAACAGCGTTGCCGAGATCGCGAAGAAGCCGTTATACCGAGTCACTTGCGGAGATATTGGCACTGATCCAGCAAAGGTTGAAAAGTATCTTGAGACGGTCCTCTATCTGGGAAAAGCCTGGGACTGTGGTAAGTGGCGTGGAGATGGTCACCGTTTGCTCTCGTCAATAGGAAAGTGTTGCTGACGGTCGAAAAGTCCTCCTGCTTGATGAAGCTGATGGTGAGTGGTGCAAAAGGATGAGTCACATGTGCTCACTCTCGTATCAGGATGTGGCTTATATTGAATTGGCTCTAGTGTTTCTCGAGGAAAGAACCATGGCGGACTTGCAGGTAATAATTGATACATGGCCTCCGTTAGCTTGCATACGCGTTTGATCCATAAGTATTTATACCATCAACGACTGCTAATGTCTGCACTTACGCTTTAGCGAAATTCTCTTGTATCCAGTGAGTTTCTCTTTCTCTGGGAATCGAGCTAATACTGATTATGCACCGAAGAATGATGATATGTCTATCTCATGGCTTTACTAACTACACATCTGACCTGATAGTCTTCCTGCGCGTACTCGAGTACTACGAGGGCATCCTCATCCTCACCTCGAACCGGGTCGGGTCCTTCGACGAGGCTTTCAAGTCCCGGATCCAGGTGGCGATCCACTACGGCCAGCTGACCAAAAAGTCCCGCAAGGCCATCTGGCGCAACTTCTTCGACATGATGGAGGAGTCGGACGACGAGGACGTCAACATGGCCGAGCTCGAGCGGCGGCTGGACGAGCTGGCGGCCGAGGAGATGAACGGGCGGCAGATCCGGAACGCGCTCCTGACGGCGCGGCAACTGGCCAAGCACCGGCAGGGGCGACTCGACTGGGAGCACCTGAGCCAGGTCATCAAGACGGCGGTCACGTTCAATAAGTACATCAAGACGTTGCGGGGGCACAGCGACGAGCAGTGGGCGCGCGAGGAGAGGCTGAGGTAGCGGGGGCGGGAGGTTAATGGGGGTGAGCAGGCGAGACGGCGCGCGACTTCTTCCTAAATGCTTTTTTTCCTTTTCCTTTCCCTCCTGCTTCCTTTTTTCCTTCCTTTTCCCCCATTTTTTCCCCTTCTTGTGTTGGAATCTACATTGGTATGCTCGGATATACTTGACGACTACCTTTTATTCCTTTGTTTATCGAATCGATACAATCATGGCAACGGTGGCAACAGTGAAATCGCTTCGTCGCGACCTCTGAACAGGTGTGGTTCGATGTGGGGTTTGTGGCTGGAAACGCCCAGACAAAGTTCATCGGAGGGAAGCTTGGCCCGTACCAAGGCGGCGGATCGTCTCGGCAGCCGCATTCTGCATCCGCCAGGGAAGCTTGTTTGGGACAACAGGCATGGGATTACGGAAATGCCATGCATGTGCCGGCCAGCCCAAGAAGTCTCGCGGGACAATTCGACGGGGTGCTTCTCAATGCCACCAGTTCTTGCCTGGCCGCAGGCCATTTTGGGGACGACGGGTGGGCAAGTCTGTGAAAGAAGCGACATGAACGATTGAGTTCGTCGGCAACCCGCCGAAAAGCCCTGAAGAGGGTCCAGCTTACAGCTTATTCAACCTGCCTAAATCTAACTAGCGCAGATTGCTCATGTGCTGCTCGCCAGTGGGTATCCGGTCCCTCGGTCTCGAGCCCGCCCCGGACTGTTGGATCCGCAGATACTGTGGCAGGCCCAATGTGCGGAGGGCTCACCGCGGCTTCCTCCCCGTCGAGATAGGAAAATGGGGTAACACTGCAGCTGTACCCTACCATGACCACGCGAGCAGTCGGCCTTTTGATTGGCGCCCCATCTCTGTTGCACCCCGTCGGACAGCCATCTCCGCTTATCATGCACCCGGGGGGAGGATTCGGGTGGGGATGTAGGCCGACGAGGGAGATAGGCCTTGTCGTTGCCGCGTCAAATGACACGCCCATCCTCGGGTCTAGAAAAACAAGTCGAGGAACCTAGTCATTCTGCGGCAGCCCGCTGATCTTGGTCGAGAGCTGCACCTCTCGCCAAGCAAGGGAATACTTTGCTCGTTTTACGCCCGCAACCAACACTGCCTCCTACTGCACCGTTTCTCTCCCAGTACAGAGCACAGCAGTCAGCAGCAACCATGGGCTCGGCCGAAGTGGTCCAACCCGCGAGTCCGCGGCGGAGCGACGATGTGGTACCAGAGAAGGCCGCCATGAACGCCGACGAGGTGCGGCTGGCTGAGATGGGTAAGTAACGGTGGCGGACTCGGCTTGGAAGAGTGTTTCTCTGGTCGGAGAAGGTGAAGCGGAGTGAGCCGGCGCGTCTGCTGACCTAGACTTCGTCCGAGCAGGCCACAAGCAGGAGCTGCACCGTCACTTCAGCACCCTGAGTCTCATCGGTCTGGCGTCGACGACTACCATCTCCTGGACGGGGCTCGGCCTCGGCCTGATTACTGAAATCGGCGCCGGCGGCCCTGGCGCTGTAATCTACGGCTTCATCCTCGTGACCGTTCTGCAGTGCTTCCTCGGCGCGTCCCTGGCCGAATTTGTGTCCAGCTATCCCACGTATGTGGCCGCCTGCTCTGTCCTGCCGACATCCAGATGAACTGACCCGGACCCACCGCAGCGAGGGCGGCATGTACCACTGGATCGCGGCCGTGGCGCCCAAGCGGCTGACGGGCCCGCTCAGCTTCTTCACGGGCTGGTTCAGCGTCCTGGGCTGGATCTTCACCACGGCCTCGACCAACATCATCTACGCCCAGATCCTCATGGCCCTAATTGCGCTCTACATGCCGGACCTGGTGATCCAGACGTGGCAGACCTTTGTCGTCTACCAGGGGCTGAACCTGCTGACGGCCGCCGTCGTCATGTTTGGTAACAAAGCCATCCCGGGCCTCAACCGCTTCTCGCTCTTCTATCTACAGATCGGCTGGCTCGCCGTGCTCGTCACCGTCGTCGCTTGCGCCCCGACGCACCAGACACCCGAGTTTGTGTTCAGGACCTGGATCAACAAGACGGGCTGGGAGAACCAGGGCATCGCCTTTATTACCGGCCTCGTGAACCCGCTGTACTCCCTTGGAGGGCTCGACGGCGTCACGCACATTACCGAGGAGATGCCCAACGTATGTGATCTGCCCCTTTTTTTCGGATCGCTACTGCATGGGGACAGCCGAGCTAACAGCCATGATTCCTTCAGCCCTCACGCAATGCCCCGCTGGCTATTGCGATAACCCTGATCATTGCTTTGTATGTACAACTTCGTGACAGGTATCGCCCAAGCATACGCAAACGCTAACCCCATCCCAAAGCTTCACGGGCATCACCTACCTTATCTCCCTCATGTTCTCCATCCAGGACTTCGACGCCCTCACCAACAACAACACGGGCCTGCCGCTCGCCGAGCTCTTCCGGCAGGTGACGCGGTCGGCCGGCGGCGCCTTCGGCCTGACCTTCATCCTGTTCGTCGCCCTCGGGCCCTGCGTCGTCTCGTCGCAGCTGAGCACGGGCCGCATCTTCTGGGCCTTCTCGCGAGACGGCGCCATGCCGCTGTCGCGCGTCTGGTCGCGCGTGCACCCGTCGCTGCGCATCCCGCTCAACGCGCAGGTGTGCGTCACCGCCATCATCGCCGCCCTGGGGTGCCTGTACCTCGGCTCGTCCACGGCCTTCAACTCGCTGCTGGGCACGGCCGTGACCATCAACAACATCTCGTACCTTTTCCCCATCGTGACGAACCTGCTGACCGGGCGCAGGAACATGCACAAGGTACGCTTTACTGCTTCTACATATGCGTATCGTCTCCAGAACCGAACTTGATATCTGACATGGCCGCTGCTTACCTGTAGGGAGTGTTCCACATGGGTCCTCGGATTGGGCCTGTCGTCAACAGCATCACCGTGTGCTGGCTGGTCTTCGCCATCGTCTTCTTTTCTTTCCCCTACGTCATGCCTGTGGACCCTACAAACATGAACTACACCTGCGTCGTTGTTGGCGGTCTGTCCCTCCTCGTCGGAGCCTATTGGTTCCAAGCGGGAGCCGAGTACACCCAGGAGATGCTGGCAAAGGCCAAGGGGGAGTAACGACACTAGGGGATGACGCCAAGGCGCGTGTTGCAAATAATTACCTGGATGGTAGGTTTTGTGGGGAGGATAGCTCAATAACAAGAACCTGGTTTGGATACCTATCCCAATGCTTCCGAGACTGTATCATGTGGCTATCTGTACACCAGCCTTTGGTCCTCGGAAGTATCTTCGGCTTTCAATCCGACATTGGCATTTGGCATCCGCTGCCTCACTTCCGCCAGCAGCCAAGTCTGACAGCCTGATCGTGCCCCGAGGGGCAGCTGCAAGGATTCTCTACACGCGATGAAGGATCAGAACTCCAGCGAAGAAGGCGAGCAAACAATACCACTGAGCAAGCAGAGGTCTGGCCCTTGCGGCCGCGTCGCCAAAGCCCTTCACCAGTGGCGGGATGGCGACTATGTAGTAGAGTTCAAGTACCCAGAGATCCTATGGACAGAACTCTTCAGCTCCAGCTCGAGCTGCCCGTCCTGCCTGAAGCTAGTGCGGTGGTTCGCGGAGCTTGTCGGCGCCGATGAGGTGCCCTTTAGCACCATTGAATGAAGAATGCTTGCCGATCGCCACCTCGTCCCCGAGGTCAACCTGCGGAGCTCGGTGCGGTTCTCTCTTTGGATGCGCCACCTTCCCATTTCAAACTCGCAAAAAGGCAGTAGAGGCTAACGTGCAGTGCTCGGAGGGGCAGGCCGACACCGGATCGTTCCGTCGCGCGCCCGAGGGACGGGAAAAAGCTGCGAGTGTATCTGGGACGCGAATTCTGCCGTGGCTCCAGCATGATACTCTACCGCAACATGGGACAGGACACCATTAGCAGCAAGCTCCTGCACTCCTGGATCTCCACCTGTGACTCCCGCCACCACGGCGTCTGTCACCACATTCAGCCGTCAGAGTTCCTGCCGTCGCCGCCGCGCATCCCCTTGGCCGACTTGCAGCGGCAGCGTCTAGTCACCGTCAGCAACGTGGGCAGCTACCAGTACGTCACCTTGTCCTACGTCTGGGGAGACACCAGCGGGCAGCTCGCCACAACTAAAGCCAACTTTGGGCAACTCCAACAGGACGGTCAGCTCCCCCACACCCACCACAGCCTTCCGGCTACGGTTCGGGATGCCATTCTTTTCGCGAAGCAGCTTGACGTTCACTACATATGGGTCGACCGGTTTTGCATCGTGCAAGGCGGCGCCAAAGAGGAAAGCATCTCGTGGATGACCTCCATAGATGCGCACGCGTACTTCACAGTCGTAGCAGCAAGCAGCATCGACGCCAAGGCGGGAATAAAGGGCATCGGATCGCCCTCGGGACCTCGGCGTTGCGAGGACACGTCGTTCTACTTCGAAGACGTCGAGTACGGCACCGGCTAGCCCGAAACAAACTCAAGCCGGTGGTACACCCGCCGGTGGACCTTGCAGGAGTGCGCCGTCTCCAGGAGGTCCCTCGTGCTGTACGAGAGCACGGCCATGTGGAAGTGCCAGAAGGAGCTCTATTACAAAACCATCGACACCTTCGACCGAGACGGCGGGAGCGAGACCTACCCAAAAAAACGACGCTACACCGGAAACTGCGTCATGAGCGAGGCTCCGAGTATGTCTGAGCTGATGCTCTGTTCAGCCACCTACAAATTGAACCCAGGTTCAGCTGTACGAGCGTCGATTGTGAGCTGTCCAATCACTGTGCCTTGTTTAGGTGGGAGGAAAACGGCTGCCTAATGGAGGGATTACAGGCCAACTTGGGTAGGAAGCCATCGCAGGGATCTGCCACTCCAACGAGGTCATTCGTACAACATAGGGGCTTTTGCAATTATAGTTCGGGGTCCCGATTCGAAAATAATTCCAAGCTAGCTGCCCCATTTTAGGGTCTAAACTCTTTGGCAAGTACTCCTTGCTCGTGCTTACGGTGGAGCAAGCCCCGGCTGCAAGGCGACCTCTAGCAGCGCAAGGATCCTTTTTCATGCGCGAAAAGCGGATGACGGCCCGAGAAGGGAGAGCGACGGGATTGGGGTGCAGGATTGACTCCGAGTTTGCTGTGCTTTCCATGCGACCAATTAGCAGCCAAGAAAAATAGAATCCCGCTCCGTCTGCATCCAGCCGAAGGAGTAGGAAGCGCAGTCCCGTGCCGCGCGGGGCGAGATGTGCACTACAGTGCTACCTTTAAACAAGGCCACAATGCCAAGTAGCAGGAAGAAGCCGTGTTGGTAGCGCAGGGCGTGGTCATCTAGATGGACGGTCCGCACGTTGCAAAAGCGATATATAAGATGGGGGGGGGGGGGCGCACCTCTCAAGTTGGCCACGAAATATCATCCAGATCATCAAAGTCTCATTCCAAAAGATAACGATAGACCAGCGAATTCATCGACACCCATCACACTTATAACCAACATAAACTTGCCTTCCACTGCCTTATCCCAAGATGCGGTCCATCTCCACTGCCGCCGCGGCTCTCATCGGCACCGCCACCCTCGCGGCCGCCAACCCCGCCGTCGTGCAGGAGCGCGACTTCCACAAGCTGCCAGATCAGGCCAGCGGCTCGCTCTCTAAGCGCGACGTCCTGACGCCACTCCCCGGGCGCGCCAGCGAGCTCGAGAACAAGTACCAGCCGTACACGGACTTTGACAAAGACGGCTGCTACTACACGGCGGCAGTCGGGGCTGACGGCAAGAAGAACGGCGGGCTCAACGCCGGGCAGGGGGTGCCGCCCAACTGCCTCCGCGCCCAGTGCCGCGACAACAACCGGCTCGAGAACAACAACCTGTACAGCCGCAGCCGGTGCAACAACGGCTGGTGCGCCATCATGTACGAGTACTACTTCGAGAAGGACCAGATCGTGTGCGGCATCTACGGCGTGGCCGCGCACAAGCACGACTGGGAGAACGTCGTCGTGTTCGTGAAAGACGGCAACGTCAAGCGCGTGGCGCCCAGCTGCCACGGCAAGTACGACAAGGCCACCAACTCGCCGCCGCTCAAGGACGGGCGCCCCAAGGTCGTGTACCACAAGGACGGCGGCTCGACGCACTGCTGGCGCATCGCCAACGACAAGGACGACGCGATAGAGAACTACACGGGCGAGTGGTTCCTCGGCCAGCTCGTCGGCTGGGATAACTGGCCCAACGTCGGCCTCCGCAACACCGCCATGGAGGACTTTGGCGGCCCGCGCGCAAAGCTCCGCGACGAGGCCTTTGCAGACAACCTGAAAAAGGCCATGGACGGCAGCATCACCGGCTTCGACCCTAATGTTGACCAGTAAGGGTGAGGTTGTGGCTGAGGATCAGACATTTGGCTTATAAGACTCCAGTCATGGATGTACAAGGTAGAATACCAGGGCGGTTTATTTTTTTTTCGGAATACATCACGTTCTCGAGTTGACATGGCTGTGCCAGGAATCTGCATGTCCCTTGATGAGTTTCCGCGTTTGCATGGTGGCTGACCTGTGCCGCTGCCACATTGGGGGTTGTTCCTTCCACGTCTGGCACGGTCCTCGCTGGCTTCAGCCTCCCGTCTTGCTGGTGATTGGGCCAGCTGTTTCGGTTACAGTGGGTGCCTGGCTGTGGCTGAACTCTTTGCTTTTTTTTCAACCCCTAGAGAAGGCACGATATGCGTCATAAAGCACAGTGCGCTCAGGTAGGTCATGCGGCTGGCACCCACTGCCTAATTGAACTCAACTAAGCTCAACTTCGCTCAAAGCCAACCCCGCGATCGCTCAATTGATTTGGGGAGCAAGCGCTTCTTACCTGTCGACCGCCTACGCATACACATCCTCGCCTCTGGCTCTCCATCTTCACGACTGCGACTGCCCACTGCTGCGCCAAGAAGCCCAGCAGCCGAGTCCGGCCTCTGGGACCACCTGCTGCCGCATTGCATTGCCAGCTGATCTCACTAGGGAGAGGCCCCCTGACTCGGAAGACTGCGTCTTAGCTATCGCCAGCAAACGCAGCATTCGCCATGGCTGGGCTCGGCTTCGTCGCCTGGGACTGCAGGGACCAAGTGGACCGCGCCACGCTGTTCTATCAGGAAGGCGAGAAGCGCAGGAAGATTGAGGAGGAGAACCAGTATCTCAAGCGGCTGCTCCGCGAGCATGGCATCTGCTGGTCGCCTGCCGTTGCGCACCGCGCGGATTTCTTCGACGGCTCCTCCTCCTCCAACGCCAAGCTCAGCTGTCGCGACCGCTTCGCCCGCACTATCACGCGCGCGCGCACTGCCGCTGCCCGCGCCGCAGACAAGGGTGCCAGGCTGCCGCCAGAGATATTCCTCCGCATCATCGAGTTTGCTATGATCAGCCCCGACCCCATCATCGACCCGCTGACCAAACCGGACAACCGGAGCATCACGGCGAAGGAGGCCCGTGCGAAGTCTGGGCTTGCCATTGGTCTAATGGCCGTCTCGCGCGCTTTCCGTGTCGAGGCAACCAAGGTCCTCTGGAGCAGAAACACCTTCATTTTCACCACTCCTGAGGCTTTGCTCGGAATGGCCAGTCTGTCCCTCGAGATCCGTAGCCAAATAAAGCACATCAATCTTCGCATCATTGCTCGCTTCTATAAGGACGACAACCGTCCGTTGTCGCTACCCAAGAGGGATCACCCCAACCTCCCGAGGGCCCTCAATCTCCCCATCAACGAGCGACCCAAGGGCCACAGCGGCGCCATCGGCGGTCTTCGGTCCTATGCTTGGCTCCAGGTTGTCGACTTCCTCACCGCACTCCTGCCGCCTTACCAGCCGCCGGCACAGTCTAGAGACAAAAAGAGGAAGAGGGATCTCGGCACTGCCGTCCCTCGCCCACGCCTTCTGCCAAATCTCGACAAGATGAGGATCGATCTGGTCAACTTCCCCCAGCGCCTGCTTCGAAACCTTCCAGCCAACGACCTGCACCAAATCGCGGCGCACGAACTCGCCTGCACTCTTAGCGAGCTGACTGTCACTGGCTTTCCCTGCTGTATGGTTGGAATCAGGGCGGCCTCTGATGTGTCGGAAATGCTTAGAGACAACGGCCTCTTCGTCGATGCAGGCGTGTCATACATGCAACAGAGAGGCGGTCGGCTCGAGGCAGTCAAGAAGATACCGCAGTTCGGTTGCAGAGTCGTCCGCCCTCGGTGGCCCACCCAGAAGAAAACAGCTGACAACAGTGCAGAACCGGAGGATGGGCTTCCCGATGGCTTGGAGTCCCAGCCCGGCTGGCAACCCCTGGACATGCACCACCACCACCATCACAACAACGAGCACTATGACCCGCTGCCTGTCCCGGTCGAGACCGAGGGCGAGCACTCATTCTGGGAGACCGGCATGATCTGGAAGCAGGTTCCTACATCACTCTTCTCCGACGAGAAGCGGGAGTGGGCCGAGTTTGAGCCACACCGCGGCTTCGCTGTGGACGACATCGACGAATGGCCAGACTCGGACGATGAGGAAGACATGCGCGTCAGGTGCAAGAAGTGCCTGAAGGTGCATTTTGATCCCATGTTCGACTCGGACTGAGTAGACAGGGCGAGCGGCCTCTGCGATTTGTGGCTTTCGTTTGTTATCACATGTGAACCCCATCAGCGGTTCGGAATCCTTATCACTTCACATTGCTAAGCCTGTTGCGAAGATATTGCACCAGTGGGAGTAGGAGAAACGGTGTTTTCGGCGCATACAAGGCAGATGAGAACAGGCGATGGCTTTCGACCTCACGGGCTAGACTCCGACATATGTCGGCTAATATCTGGCACCTTTCATCATCATTATCGCCCTTGCCATGGTATCAGCAGATCAAGTGGCGCAGCGGCTCATTCATCTCTAGATTATTGCCGCGAAGATTAATAACATCGCTGTTTGGCCATCTCGAGCAGAGTAGATATGGTGTATCATACGGGATAGCAATGGACCGCACGTATCACGTTGTTGACCGTTTCGACCACATTGATGGATGCTTTGCAACCCATTCTAAACCTTTTCTCTTCTAGTTTCCTCTGGTATCCTCCCCCTTATCCCTTCTTCCTACAGAACTTTCTGGACATGCCTTTTTTTCTCTTATTTCTCAACTTGACTGTCGTACGCATAGAGGTCAAATCTTGGCCGCCCAAAGATACGGCGACACCGAAGTGAAGATAGAGGTCAAGGAAGATAGCACTAGCGCCTAAGCTACTAGAAACCCAAGCTTGTCTTGGGGACTGGATCGATGACGGTTGGGGACTGTGCGGTATTGACGGTTCTTGGTTTATTGCTCAGCTTGGTTTGCGGATTTAAATAAGTTATCGAGATTCTTTTAATACCCTGCTTTTATTGGAAAATATCCCAGGATTAAATGTCTTCAGCAGAAAAAAAAACCGCTACCAATTACCTACCGTACATGCCCTTAAACTTAAAGCTCCCCTGTTCTATATATTCCGATACTCTCTATCCTTGTTCCGTCCTTGCACTCTATGCTTTCACAGCCCTTTGTCTTCTCCCTGTCTGTCTCCTTCCATACTTGCTTGTGAAGAACACATATATCCGTACACCGCAACCCGTTGGCTGTAACCGATCAACCTCTTTTGCGTCCACCCAATGTCCAACAGGCGGATTAGATCCGCGGGCACTCTAGGTAGAGATGCTGACAAGGCATGGGCTCTGCGCAGCCGCCACCGCCTCCAGAAGGCAGGGAGGAGCGGTCCCCGCAGATACATCGAGCATAAAGCTGCAACAACGACGACTACAATAGTGCCGCATACCGGTGTGGCGAGCGCTCTGACTGCTGTCGGTCGTCACAGCGAAGGTCGACGCCGGGATCGACCTTGCTGTCGCTGCGACCCTGGGAGTCACGACGGCGCGAGTCGTGTCTCCCCTCCCCGGGCCAGTAGATGCAGACCTTCCTATTTTGGGGGGGTGTTTAGTGTTTATCCCGCCGTTCCCATCTTGGCGGCGTTCTGTTAGATCAATGACACCTTGGCATCGGATGATGGGCGTTGGGCGGCGGGGGGTGGGTGGGAAGAGTTTATCTCGTCGGGGGTAGGGGGAGAAGAGGGGCGGCGGGCTTGGTGATCTCCTAGCAGAAAAAGTTTAAACACCTCTGCTCGATGCCCTTTTTCTTTTTTCTTTTCTTTTTTTCTTTCTTTTTTTTTCTTTCTTTCTTTCTTGATAAACCGGCCCATCCCGTGGGGTGGTGGCTTTTGTCTTCTGGTGGTGTGGCACTTCAGCAGAATGCAGTCGTAATGTAATGTCTGCAGTTTTATCGTGACTTCTTTCTTTCCTCCTTGGAGGTGACATTCGGTTATGTTTCAGTGCTGAGTGACCAAAATAGCCTCGCATGCCCGAGGGTACCTACCTACCCGCTTGCGCCAAGCTTCAAGCGTCCAAACAAAACACGAGGCACCAAACAAACTACTCGTGCGGGCTAAAAGTGCGGTGGGGCAATTCGACGTTTTCGGGGCAATTCGACGCTTTTTTTGTGCCATTTTTCCCCAGCCAAATTTAGCTGGAAATCAATGTATCGCTGAAAAGGTAATGGGCCGCTCACTTACTTTTTGCATGGTGCACAGGGGAGTTACGAGTTTGGCTGTGCACCGTGCCTACAGGAGTTTGGCTAATTATTACCTTTTTCAGCGATACATTGATTTTCAGCTAAATTTGGCTGGGGAAAAATGGCATAAAAAAAGCGTCGAATTGCCCCGAAAACGTCGAATTGCCCCACCGCACTTTTAGCCCGCACGAGTAGTGGCAGAGGCTGCGGGTCCTCCTCGCCTGTCGTCAAACCTTTTCTCGAAGGCCCCCTGCGCGGTCGTTCCCCCACGGGGGCATGTGAGCTGGCGCACCACCGGTCGTGTTAGAAGCCCACCACGAGCTTTTTGTGATTTGACGCTATGCCGCCGCCCCCCGCATGGCTCCTCCTGCCAAAGAAATGGGTCCCGGTTGACGTTTTCCTAGCTGGGAAGGTCCGGGGTGGAAGAGAAAAGGTGAAAATAGCACGCACGGGTGGGAAGCGCGCTGCGGCTTGCGTGGGCCAAACCTCGGAGCGCAAGCGCGATAGCCGCGTGCATCGGAATGTATCCCCTAGGTGCGGGTAGGTAGGTCCTCCTTCAAAGGACAGTGACCGGCTGATCGGCATCGCAGTCCCACCGGTAGGAGGGGCAGTGAGGTTGCTCCAGGTCCAACGGCAGTGGGCGGCTTACGCCGGCGGCCGCCTGAAGGCGCCCCGAAACCCCCTCACGCGTGTCCGACGCTTGTTCTAGAGCGGACTCTCCTGGATCAGAAAGGCAGAACGGATGAAAGAGAGGGGGGAAAAAGTAGCACGCGCATTCTCTGTCCCGGGGGGTTCAAAAGACTGGGATCTCCATCACCAATGTTTCAAGCGGCTGGAGCAGCGAGCTCCAGTGGCACGCGAATCCACCAGTAGTACACCACCGGCCTATTTCGACTCGCAGAGCCACCGCACTCGTCGGACCTAATCTAGCAATCATCGCGGAGGGACTGAGCGCGAGAGTAAAGTCCCTACCTACCATCTGCGAGGGAAACAAAGGACAAAAACCCACCCAGTAACAAGGGGGTAACAGGGGGTTTGAAACTGGAGATCGCAAAGGTTTTGGTATGTTACGAGACTTCGGGAATTTTTCGTCCTTTAAAAGCTTTTCTCGATTTCTTTCTTTCTTTCACCAACTTCAATAATGGCAGTGACTTTATGCCATTACGTGACCCCCTTTTCATTACCCTTGTGATCTCCAGTTTTAACCCCCCTGTTACTGGGTGGGTTTTTATCCTTTCTTTCCCTCGCAGATGGTAGGTACCTACCTATGCACCTCTAGGTAGGTAAGGCAGGTGTACACGCCAACGGGCTGGGGGGGAGATCTTGAATCAGGCTGGTGGGCTTGGGAATGGAGTTCGCCAAGGACGCACAGCCGCCACCCGCCGGGCTGTGGGACTCGAGGAGATCACACCCTAATGTCAAAGCACGTTTCCAGCGATTTGCTCGGCAGCGGGTTGGTCGGAAATAGCAGTGAGCCGGCTGGTGATGGCCGCACTTGTATGGTGGCTTCTATCAAAGAAGGTTGAGGATAAATAGCTGGCCTTCCACCATCATCAGCTTTCCCCTTTCCCTCCTTCTTCACCACACCATCGGGCACATTCTCCTTTTGTCTCTTGTCTCTTTTTTCCTTTTGTTTTTCTTTTGTCTTTTTCCTTTTGTCTTTTCCTTCTTGTCTCTTATCCTTCTTACCATCATCCTTGCTGCCACCTGCCGCGTCTTTCCACCGAACCTCCCAACCAAACAAACAACTACCTATCGACAACAGTCTTCCTTTCAGGCCCAAGCAACAAGATGCAGCTCCTCAAGACCTCGATCGCCCAGGTCGTCTTGGCCAGCTTCTTGGTCAGCTCGGCCGCTGGTGCCCCAATAGGGCTGTCGGGCGATATCGCCATCCGCAGCAACTTCCCCGCCGCCGCGGCCCCCGCCCTCTACACTCGTGAGCCCAAGAGCATTTTTAATAAGATTGGGGGTGGCTTGAAGACTGCCTGGAACAAAGCCATCAAGCCCGCCGCCAACGTCGGCCTCCAGGTCGCCGGCGTGGACGCCCAGCTTAAGAAGCGCGGTGCCGCCGAGTTCGACGAGGCCCCCGTCCTTTACGCCCGTGAGCCCAAGAGCATTTTTAATAAGATTGGGGGTGGCTTAAAGACTGCTTGGAACAAAGCCATCAAGCCCGCCGCCAACGTCGGCCTCCAAGTCGCCGGCGTGGACGCCCAGCTCAAGAAGCGCGGTGCCGCCGAGTTCGACGAGGCCCCCGTCCTCTACACTCGTGAGCCC